CTCGAATTTTGATGATGAAATCAATTATTAATTATTTAATCTAATATATATGTTGAGAAAAGTGTGTAGGATTAACTACGATAGCAGTAAGACATAAAGCATGTGTTGTGCCGGAGTCAAAATCGAGATCTCGTTGGGAGTTCAAGAGTTCGCCGGAAGTCCGGACGTTCATTGGAAGTTCTACCAGAACCAACCGAGAAGTCTAGAAGCTTGCCAAAGAAGCTCATCGAAACTCACTAAGAAAATCATCGTAAAGTTCAGGAGCTTACCGGGAGTCTGTCGGAACATTGCCGGCAGTTCGTCGGAAGATCACCGGAAGCTCGCCGGAAGAGCTATTGATATACCGAAACAATATGCTTTGTCAAATTGTCTTAAATATTATTGTTAGTCCATGAATTGAGTTAGAATTGGGAGGTAATCCCACTAACTTAGTTAGGGGCCAACTGAGCCCTAAACAGGGCTGAATTGGGCCGGATTGAATAACCCATTCAGCCTCTGAAAACATGGCTGGCGGTGGCACCGCTTGGGAGACCCAGCCTCCCAGGTTGTCTGGACGGTGGTACCGCCTAGTGTCAGGTGTCAGGTAGTGGTACAACCCAGTAATGGTCGTGGTACCGCTAGTACCCCGAAAATCCAGGATGAAACACTTTTTGGCTCCATTTTTGAAGTTATTGGAGCCTATAAATACCCCACCCTTTTCTGCTGGGCATGAAAGCATTAACATAATCTTGAGTTCTTGAGTCTTAAAATATTGTAAAAGTAACAAGAGTTCTCCTCCTTGCATCTCTTAGGCTTGTAACATTCTAAGAAAGAGGAGTGAGACTTGTAAGGGTTGTCTCCTAAACCCGACAAAAGGAGAAAGAGTTGTAAAAGGTGGTTGGCCTTCGCCCATTGAAGGAAGGCCCATAGTGGACGTTGGTGATCTCGACGGAGGGGAAATCTAAAGTGGATGTAGGTCTCATTGACCGAACCACTCTAAATTCTAGTTTGCTTTTCCTTTTGTACAATTTACTTTACTGCAAACCTCCTTGAGTTTCTCCTTCAATTCTTACGAAAGTTTTAAAGTTCAACATCTTTCTGAAACGATTTGAATCGAGACGAAGTTTCTATGAAATCAAAGAATTTTTCACTACACTAATTCACAACACCCCCCCCCCCTCTTAATGCCGCTCTTGATCCTAACACCTTCTACTGACCAAAGATTGGGACTGATGTGGAAGAATATATTCGAACGTGCCTTACTTACCAACAAGACAAGGTTGAGCAGCAGAAGCTAGTGAGACATTTAGAGTCGTTGCTCGTACCAAAAAGATCATGGGAGAGCATTTCCTTAGACTTCATATCAAGCTTGCCAGTGGTATAGGGACTTAGATCAATACTTATGATGATTGAACGATTTTTTAAGTATACAACTTTCATTATTGCACCTCTATAATATTTAGCAAAGGAGGCGCCCAAACTGATGATGAAGAATATTGTGAAGTATTGGGGAGCTCTACACAATATCATCAGTGATCAAGACGCTTGGTTCCTAGGACAGTTCTGGACTGAGTTATTCAAATTATTATGGTCTAAGTTATACTTCTCCATAAGCCTCCACCCTCAGACAGATGGCCAAACCGAAATGATAAACTCGCTCCTTGAGCAATATCTTCGGCACTACGTGAGTGCCAACGAATGAGATTGGGTGAAGCTGTTGGACATAGCCCAACTATCCTATAACTTGCAACAGAGCTCTACGTCCAACAAGAGCCCCTTCGAGATCATTATAGGATAATAGCCGTCGACTCCTCACACCTTGGCTATCGGGTATATTGGGAGTAGTTCATCAGCATATCACTTTGCAAAAGAATGGCACCGAAATATAGATATTATGTGGGTTTACATGGAGAAGATGGCTAAAAAGATGAAGAAGTGGGCAGACTTGGGAAGGCGACCACAGTCGACGATTTGGTATTGGTGAAGCTCCAACCAACATCACTCCAATTCTTTAGGCATAAAGTATATAAAGGATTGGTGCATAAGTATGAAGGGCTCATTCCAATTATCAATAGGGTGGGCAATGTCTCCTATAAGTTGCAACTGCCAGCGTGGCTCAAAATTCATAATATTTTTCATGCTAGCAACTTGAAAGCCTACCACTGAGATTTGTAAGATACTTCATGAAGTGTTCCAACTTGGCTACCCCCCACCAAAGCCTCATACAAGAAGCGAGTTGAAACCATTTTAGCGGATCGCAAAATAAAGCTACCTAATGGAGCTGAGTAGATCGAGTACTTAGTGAAGTGGCGAAAGCTTCCCTGAATTGAAGCTAGTTGGGAGCTCGAAGATGCCCTACGACATGAAGAAGCAGTTGTCAACAACTACCAACAAGCATCGATGAGGGCGTCGACAATTTAAGTGGGGGAGAATGTCACAAACGGTCATCGTGCAACTGCAACAACTTCATTCAACAACCCGTTCGTCGCTTTTGCATACTTATATAGAGACATGGTAGTATATTTTGCCTTGGTTTTATGTGTTTTTGCTTCGAAAATATAAGCAACGATAATTTGTAGTGCTACAGTGCAATCGCTTACCGCGCCAGGCTGAACTACCCCAAAATGGTTATGTTTTCGTGTGCCACATCTTGTTCTTTGCAAATCATAGCTACACGCGAAATGTCAGCCATCTTGGCACCCTAGAACCCCCCAGGTGGCATAGGGCTGGATGGGGCTTCGGTATATAGTTGGGTGTTGAACAATCTTCACAAGTTCACACGTTAACTTGACGGGAACTTGCCTTCCCGCCCGACACTTGGTGAGTAGTTGTTTGTGGACTTGCAATTGTTTGTTCTACCTTCTAAAATTCTTATTTTCTCCTTCCTCTCTTTTCTCTTTTGCACTCAAAGTGCTCACTGAATTGCTTGTAAAGCTTCCCTCTTCGTGAGACATCGAGACTTGCCCGTCGCTCGTTTTCAATCTAATCAACTTTCTATTTTACAGATCCTTTAGGACTTGTAGGAGGTTGCAACTAGGCTGACCTTTTGTGGACGTATATGTCGCAAGAGTGCCTCATGACTTAAGCAATCTTAGCTTAGTCTAAAGAGTTGACGCAAGGGTGCTTCACGACTTAGGCAACTCCAACTAAGTCTGTGACTTTGCCGCGAGGGTGCCTCACGACTTAGGAAACTCTAGCTAAGTCCGTGACAACTAGGTAGTACCACCACCTAACATAGTCCGAGGACTGTGTTTGGGTGGTACCATCGCCTAGTCTGGCGGTGCCACCGCCTAGGCTAACTATGGGTCACTGAATGGGCTCTCACTTGACCCAAAACAACCTCAATTTGAGCCTAGTTAGCCCCTAATTGAGTTGGCCTAATTACATTATAAACCAACCTAATTAGAACTAAAAACTACTTTGATCTAGATAATTATTACAAAGCATTAATCACATATTGTCTAACATGTCATTGGTTCATCTAGCGCTTCGTCCGACCCTTCGGCGCATTGTCCTCTCCTTCGACATATTGCCCAATTGGTATGTTGTCTTCTCACAACATCCAATCTCCTTGGCATAATTTCTGATCTCCTTGGCGTAATTTCTGATCTTCTTGGCTCGATGCCTGAATTCATGGCACGAAGCCTTCTACCGATATGGCGATCGATAATTCGATTCGATGTCCAATCATTTGACACGTTTCACTTCAACCCAACGTTGATTCTTCCTACTTTAGTCAAATTATCTCTCTATGATCGAAGCTAGTCTTGCGTCACTCAAAGTGTATATTAGATCACAAACTTATCAATTGATTTCATTATCAAAATAGATTCAACATTCTCAATAATAATAGGCTTGCCCTTATTATCTTGTTTAGATGAAAAGATACTAGGTATTATTCAACTTGAAGAATCTTATGGAAGACAATTAAGGAGATATCTAACTCTTATAAGCCAATGAGATATTTCATGTTGAATGTTCTATCGTAGGCTAATGAGATATCTAGTTATCACAAAAGTAGATTATTCATTAGTTTCACTCGGACCATGAGGTTATCAAAACAAGTCATGTAATTAGAAATTCTAGAGACTTGGCATATAGTGCTTAATTACTTCATGAGTTGGTTCCTATTATAAGGAGGCATATATTTTTTCTCTAACCCTAAATGTCAACTTATACTAATTCAATATAGTTAGGCTGAAACAATTAACATCGTGTAAGCAAGTTTAACTCTATAGTTCTTGACATCAAGCATCAATCAAAGCATTGGTCCATAACTCGAGCATCATGATTTCCATCAGAGTAAGGTGTAGTTAACTTAATCCTATGGGTAATGTCATCCTCATCATCTTGGTACATAAGTCTAGGTACATTTTATGAGTGTTTTAAATCGAATTATTCATTCTCTCAATCTACCTCACTATTATAGGATACATGTAGAGGTTAAGGTGCAATATATTCCTTAGATCATCTAGGTTATAGTGGATTTTATGGAGGCCTAAAAGTTAAATTATTATCGAGATGATCCATTCAGCTACGTGACAATCTAAGTGCTCTTTAAATGTTTGATAGTATTTTTCATAATGAACTAGTCAATCTTCCATAGTCTCAAGTTTAATATTAATTTAAACCAGATTGATAGGTTTTGTAAGGTTTATAGTGTTTATAGTCTTAACAAACTAACCTATAATTCAGTCATTCATTAACTCTAAAAATATAAAGTTTATAGTATTTTTATAAGGATAAATTTATCTTGAATGAGTGCCATATCTCCTTTTAAAAAAGAAGTGAGTAGGAATCTATGTCTGTCCTTGATAAATATTACATACCTCATTCTAATAAAATAATGGATAGAGATCTATATGATAGAAACAAGTATAGATCCATACATAAATGTCAAATACTTTCCTTCTAGAAGAACCATAATTAGAGATCCATAAAATAAAGGTATGTATTCACTCCATACAAGATCCGTGTACTTTAAGATGTGCATATGATATGTACCTTGATGACCTCATTTAAGTTTAAACCCAAAACTATATACAAATGTGTCTCTTACCAAATCCTATTAATATCTAATAATATATATATATATATATATTATAGTTTTTATTTCTTTCACTATGATCTATAAATGAGGGGGGTTTGAGGTCCCGCGTTGATGGACGGCAAGATGTACTCCCGCCATGCCTTCACTTCAAAATTTGTACAGTATACCTTAAATCATAATATCTAAAATAATTTAATTTAATTATCTATAATAAAAATATATGTTTGGCAAGCGTAAATGTCGTATTTATTTTGAAGTCATTTGACGGCGTCTCGACTGTTCGTCAAGAGAAAGGCCGAATCAAACCCAGACCACGGTTCGGGTCGATGGGCCGGCAATGTCACGTCATGAACCCGAGTCACGTTAACACCCGCCGCATAACGTCTCCGAGACGAATCGCGGAAGGGTGCAACAAAAACGTGCGAGAAAAAAGATCGAAAAAAAGCGATACCTTTTCCACCCGTTTCGACGTTACTCATATTTATTACCGTCGTGTGATTGACAGATATATGTGGGTCCCACATAAAAAGCAGAAGGCAGGTAGACGTTGAGCCTGAACCTTTATTTACTCTCTCGCTCGCCCTCTGTCTCTACTTCTGTTCCTTTTCCGGTCATTCTTCTGCGCGTATTAGGGTTCCACTCCTCTCCTTCGACCGGTCGTCGCTCTCGGGAGAAGGAGAAATATTTGCACTGAATCTAGGCAGCGGCGAACAAGGGATTCGAGCGCGATGAAGCTAACGGTGAAGACGCTCAAGGGCACCCAATTCGAAATCCAGGTTCAGCCCAACGACACGGTAGACTCCCGCGCTTACCGAAACACTCCTCTACTTTTGATTTGTTCTGTTCTTCGCTGGGGGGCATCTTGGTTCTTGATCCTCTCCTTAGATCACTTCACGTTTTGCTCCTGTTTTCTGATTTTGAGAGATGAAGTACGTTGTCGTTTTTTCTCTCCTTGATGGGGGGCATTGCTTGGTCTTGATCCTCTCCTTAGATCACTTCACGTTTTGCTCCTGTTTTCTGATTTTGAGAGATGAAGTACGTTGTCGTTTTTTCTCTCCTTGATTTCATGTCAGAGTTTACGTATATCGGATTAGGAATCCGTTGATTTCTTGAGTTTTATGTGGTTGTATGATGAACAGACCATTTTTAACATAATTAGTTTTTGATGGAGTAGTCTTTTTTTTTCCCACTGAATATATTTTTTTGTAAATTAGTTATTTATGTTAAGTGTTTATGTGAAATGAACTTTATTGGATACACTCTCTCGCGACCTCCTTGGAACTGATTCTCAACTTGATCTGTGTACTATGTGAGGCATGGATGAAAGAAATTGTAGTTTCAGACAGAAGAAAATAGCATGTAATTTTCTGTTACTAGCAGTTGATCTGTTGGTTACTCCTTGTTTAGATTGATGACTTTTACTAGGACATGTAGACTTTTATTCGATTTTGGTTAAGAATTATTAGGTTCTATCAACTCTGCAGATACTTTTTGTACATTGAATATGTTCTGCTATAAACCAAGCCTCCATGGTGGGCCTGGAGCATTTTAGAAGACCTTCAGCGGTTGATGTCTAAATTTGTAGAAACCAAAACTGTGCATGTGTATAGGGAAGTAAATAGTGCGGCTAATTGGTTAGCCAATTCTTCTAGGTCTGTAAATTTAAATTTTTTTGGAAGGAGAACTGGCCTGTGCAGTTTCCAATAGTTTGGACTCTGAAGCTAGATGCTTGTTTTATACTCGTTTTATAAGTTAGAAGGAAGAATATGCTCTGCTATGGGGCTCAGTTTTAGTCTTCTTTATATTTTTTTCATAGAAAAAAAGAATACCGTGATCAAGTCTTGCATGATTGAATGATTTTGTGAAAACAATGTTTGTTTTTAGTTGATATTATTTTGACATGACATTATATAATTTGACTTGTAGATTTAAATATAATACTTGATTAGGTTATAGCTATTTTTTATGTTCAGCATCTTTGTCATCTAGTAGTTTGTTGATACCTGATAGCATGTTTTTTTCTTGTATCACAGATTATGGCCGTGAAGAAAAATATCGAGCATGTACAAGGAAAAGACAATTATCCATGGGGGCAACAATTGCTGATTCACAATGGAAAAGTTTTGAAAGATGAAACTACACTGGAAGATAACAAAGTTAATGAAAATGGTTTTCTAGTTGTCATGCTTAGTAAGGTATTCACAAGTTATTTGACAGGAAAATGTTTTGAATTGCATAAATAGTTTAGAACAGATGTTGAACTTTGATAATATAAATCCAAAATTAGTTTGGCTGTTCTTTAATGTTGTAACTTGAGCTTTTACATTTTTTAGCTTATATTAAAAAAGTGTATTGTCATTGGGAGGTTTGCTTGTTACTAGAAAAATATTAAAGAAAGTGAGGAACTTGAGAATTCATGGTGTTTCAGATTTTATTTGGTAGTATTGGCACTTTGCTATCTTTTAGAAAGCAAAAACTCATAGTTGGTTAGCGTGTTGCTACATTAGCTTACATAACCTTTTCCATTTACTGTTTTTTGCTGTTGGGTATTTTTAATTAGTTTGCAAATGTTAACGATGTGCAAACCTATATCGATTTGTCATGTTCACTATGTAGGACACTTCACCATGAGAAAATGGGATGTTATTCATTTCTTTTCTCTGGAAGTGTTAAATGCCCAGATGGCACAATCTATAATCCCATTAATAGCAGATCATTGTTATGTGATTTATATATGTCAGCTACTATGAGTTCTGGTGGTAAGCTTTTTCAAGATTAACTATTAGGTATTAATATCCATTCTGGTTCGTTCTCAGTTGTGAAAAGTTATAGCATTATTCTTTCTTACTATTCCCTTGTTGTATCACTAGCATTTCTTAAATTGGCTACCTGCCAACTGGTTTTCGTCATAGATTTCGTAATCTAAGTATATTTACCAATATCTTCAAATATTTGGTACCCTCAATTTGACAGTCCCAGATCTATATAAAGTGCAGCTGGAAAACATTTGATATCTCATCTTAGATTGGTGTGTATCTCCTGTATGGGTTCTGTTTGCTTTATTGATGTTTCAGTTTATGTTTGTGATTGTTGTTCTAGAAGACATGATGGGGACCTGAGTCTGGGAATTAATATGTACAAGAATAAGCTGGATTCCTCTCTTTTCCAAATTTCAATGTTTGCCTAGGCATCCTCAAAAACTCTTTCATGCAATCTTTTGGAATATTGCAAGTCCGAAATAGTTGGGATTTACGACTTTGTTATTGTTGTGTTATTAGTTATATTATGTATTACTATGAGTTTTAGATGTCATACAACATTCAACTAGTTATTTGAAGAAGTCAGCTATATATAATTCCCATCACTTTCTTCTGCATGTTTGTGAATATGCGGTGGATGACACAGTATATGCCCATTTTTCTGTCTTCCCACTTCAAATTTTTATTAGCCTATTTAATAGAAACTGAAGATTTTTAAATTTTAATATAGTATATTTGACATTAGATAACTATTTCTTATACTATTCTAATCTTTACTCTTACCATTCTTCAAGAGTTCCTTTCTTCTGCACTTCTGGTTTTTGGCTACCTAAGCATAAATTGCAATTGTTATGAAGATCTAAATTTAAGGTTACGTGATTCGACTTATATTTGTCATGTTTATACTATTTATGGACTTGCATCATCTGTGGTAGGTAATATCTTTTTCCTTTTGTGATTTTTAATGCATCTGTTGCTTAAATAATTTTCAGAGTAAAGCTGCAGGTGTTGGTGGAGCATCATCTGCGCAGGTATTTGTTACATTACATACCTATTTGAGAGAATCAGCAAATTTTTGTTGTAACCTAATGTTTATGTTGACAGCCCTCAGCAACTTCTACAGTCCAGCATCCCGCTGCTGAACAGACTCCACCATCAGTTCCACCACAAGCTCCGCCACAAACTCAGTGAGTGTACTGAGTTACTTTCTCTCTTCTAAAACAATAAACACCCTAATGTTACTGTAGTCTCTCAATGTCACTGTCATCTGGTTTGTTTACTAGTTGCTTCTTGTTTCAGGGCCCTAGAGAGTTCCGCAACTGGGCCTGGTGGACCCCAAGGACCAAATGCACAGTATGTCTGTTTATAATTAGGATTTTCTTATCATTCTAAAATACATACAAAGTATATCAATGGATATCCTTTAACATGCTTTTAAAATTGCAAGGACAAAGGGTCATACTTTTTAAGTTGTTAATGCTTGAACTTTTATTTGACTATTGCTTGTCCAAATGTATTTCAAGCAAGGGTATTTCTGTCGCGCTTTCATATGTCCATTTATAGAATCTTATGTTCTCTTTTCTGAGAAGTTTTCATAGATGAAATTCCTTTGTAACCTTTTTCTAGATCAAAGTTAAGAACAACGAGGGTTTCTCCTTGTAATAGCCAGTGATTGCAAAAGGCGCTCGGGCGCTCGCCTAGGCGCTCGGGCGAGGCGAGGCGAGGCCCGAGCGCCTCGCTAATGTCCCAGGCGGCGCGCTTCAAACAGGCGCCGCCTGGGCGCTCGCCCGAGCCCAGGCGCTGGGCGCTTCGGGCGAGCGCCTGGGTAAACCAAGGCTGGTTCGGTTGTTAGTTGGTTCAATCGAACCAACTAAACCGATATAACCCCAACCCTAACCCAACACTAACCTGTTGCCGCTGCCGCTCTCGATCCCGATCGCGATCTCGTCGCTCGCTGCCGCTGCTCCCGCTGCCGCTGTCGCTGCTCGCGCCTCCCGCGAGCCCTCTCGCTGCTCGCGCCTCCCGCGAGCCCTCTTGCTGCTCGCGTCTCCTGCGAGCCCTCCCGCGAGCCCTCCCGCGAGCCTTCCCGCTGCTCGCGCCTCCCTCGAGGCCTCCCGCTGCTCGCGCCTTCCTCTCCCTTTCCCTTTCCCGCTGCCGCTGCCGCCGCTCGCCGCTGCTGCTGCTGCTGTCGCTGCCGCCGCTTGCCGCTACTGCTGCCGCCACTCGCTGTCGTTGTTGCCGCCGCTCGCCGCTGCTGCCGCCACCACTCGTCGCTGCTTCCTCGTTTCTCCGTCAGCAGGTTTATACGGTTAATGTGATTATATTTATTAATTATATTATATATTTTTATATTTTTATTTAAAATTTTAAATAATTATATTTATTAATTATATTTTATATTTTTATATTTTAGCGCCTCGCTTCGCTCGGGCGAGCGCCTGGGCGAGCGCCTAGCGCCTCGGGCGTTTTTGGACCTTGGCGCCTTTTGGCGCCTAGCGCTTTTTAAATCACTGGTAATAGCAGCAACCAAGGCAAAGTGCTCACTCTGAAGTATAGCTGTTAAGTTATGCTTCTGCACTTTCTAGTAATATATCTCAGTTCATGCTTAATGTTTCAGGCCTTAGTAAGCTAGACAACAAATTCCACACCTTCACGATCACCTTTAATGGAGCATGGAGCCATCAAATTCTAACATATCCAGGGGACAGGGGAAGAAGAACCAGCAAGACACGAGGATATGATGACACCATGAAACTGGCAAACTCCTGTGATGATGAAAATCTCATACACCAACAATTATAAGTGAATCATTTTGAATGCCCTCTGGTTGTGTTCCAAAATATTATGACCCACAGGCTAAAAGCCTACCTTGCTCATGATAATTTTGTCACTACTGACAAAGGTCTAGAGAAACTCAACTAAGCACATGTTGCTCCATGTCAACCACTTGCCACTGGTTTAATAAGGGGGCAAATGATTAATAATAAAGTCACATGTTCCACCTTGCTTGAGCATTTTGTACATAAATTTTGTCCTTTTGGTACATTGATTTTAGAATTAACTATACCCATATTAGATAACTATGGCATCTGATTTAGTTGAAAAAAATAAACAATAATCCAGTTTGGTGAGATACAAGTTAAATCAAACGCATGCAGGCTTCTTGGGAATCTACTGAGATCATTTTATTACATTTGGACACTTATGTGTTAAAATAAGCCTATTGCCGAAAGGAATATGTCACTTATTCTGTAGTATGATCAGCGAGCTGATATCCTATTCTGAAATGTGTCCTCAAATTTAAGTTTATGGTTCTTTATTGCAGGAAAAGTCTTGGATGAAGATATTAGTCGGCCAACCTAATAGGGAATGTTGCTCATGACAAATTCTCTTTTATGTTCTAACACAATACAAGTTTGCATGTCAATATGTCATATGATGCTGTATGAACACCCTGTCCATGTTTATGTTTTAGACTGAGGGTTTATAACCTAATTCTGGTGGGCCTTGTAGACAACATTGTTTGTGAATTTCTATTGTATGTTTTGATGCTTTTTTTTAAGATCATGTGATTTAGTAAGATCATAACTCCTTATTTAAATCTACCATTCATAATTCTGTGACTAACAACAAAATCTTATTATGCATTAAATGCATGGTATGCTATTTTAGTCCCACATTGGAAATGGAGAAGTGAATGTGGTTGTTATAAGGATTAGATGATTTTATTATTGGATTCAAATATTTGGGGTTAGTTAATGAGTCAGTTTTTTCCTTTTGGGGTCCAATCTTGGCATTGGAATCAAGTATTTTTTGCCTGTGGTTTTATGCCTATCAAGTTAATGGGACAATTTTATTGGGTTGGATTATAACAGTGCATTGAAATATAATTCAACACCAACAAATCATAAAGTTCCAACTATTTATATGCAGGGTATCTGCTGATGCCTATGGTCAAGCTGCATCCAGTTCAATTGAAGAGAGTAAACTTGAGCAGATGGTTAGTCAATTGATGGAGATGGGTGGTGGTAACTGGGATAGAGAAACAGTTCTGCTTGCCCTTCGTGCTGCTTGCAATAACCCGGAGCGTGCTGTGGAGTACCTATATTCTGTATGTAGCTGATATTTCTTCTTTGTAGAACTGACAAATTACTAATCTATGGTTTCACATCTTGCTATCAGGGTATTCCAGCAACAGCAGAAATTGCAGTTCCAGCTTCTCCTTTCTCTTCATCTCAGGCATCTCCCCAAGGAGCCAGTGCACCTGATGTAGCTGCTTCAGGTCCTCTCTTTGGGGTACCAAACTCGTCTCCCTTGGATATGTTCCCACAGGTTTAGTGTCACACCCTTGCACATGTGTCTTCATTTGGCACGCATGGCATTTAAAAGGCAACTAATTATTTTTAATAGGGCAATACTGATCTTGGAGTGGGTGCTGGAGGTGGATATCTTGACTTCCTCAGAAACAACCAACAGGTTTGTTAATTGCATTTTAATCCACTCCACAACATTAGTCTTAAGTAACTTTTTAATTTGAGTCCAAAAAAAGGCTCACGAGCTTAGGAATGTGTTCAAGTCCTTAATCTCAGATGGATTTCTGAAATTGTTACTTATAGTCGACCTAAGTTCAGTCAAAAAATTTCTGAATTAGTCAGAGGTGGTTCCTTATTAGTGCAATAGAAGCTAATTGATTTGTCAGGGAATATTCTGCTTTGCAATGACTGTCCAGCAGAGAGAGAGCTGGAGTATGGTTGTTATTAGGTATGTGGTTGTTAAATTGAAGTCGACAAATGTTCAGTTTAGGCTCTTAGGTTATCTCGAGGACAATTGGCTTCTTAAAATCAAGTCAACAAATATGCATTGCATTGATGGTTGGGTCTTACTAGCATACCAAGATGACCTTTGTGGTTGGTTTTGCAGTATTGCTATTTTAAATCTTCGTACTACTTTTCTTTTTGTGTAGTTCTTAGCCTTGCGAGCTATGGTTCAAGCAAATCCGCAAATTTTGCAGGTCAGTGAGTTTCATCTGAGATAAAATATAGCTTTCTTACATCTAACTTGTTTCTAACTACTGCTTCGCTTGCAGCCAATGCTTCAGGAACTCAGCAAGCAAAACCCTCAGCTATTAAGATTAATACAGGAGCATCATGCCGAGTTTCTTCAGTTAATAAATGAACCTGTTGATGAAGGTCTTGAAGGGTGAGTCATGTCATAATGTATGATGTTGGTATGACTACTTTAAATTGCCAATTTCTAACTGATATGTGTCTAGATATTGATAGTATATATCAGTCTGGGAGGTTCTATTGGGTGGTTTGAGACATGTTAAATCTAGGGTTCAAAACATGAACTGTTATCAAAGTTGTATTTATATGTTTTGTGTAATAGCACTTTCTCTTGTGTCAGTTGTTCTTTTGTTGTTTTTTTCTGTATCTGTTTAATGATTAATACACATGGAGTCCTCCAAACTATGTGTTCTAGATTATACAGAGAATACAGTAATGTATGGCAACAGAATGGGGTGAAATAGAGAAAGGTGAAATGGTTAATATATGATTAGCATGGACATTAATGGTGGTGGAGATGTGAATGCCAAGATGGTGTAGGATGAGGAGACATGGGTGATGGGGGAACATGAGCTGTCATTTGATGAGAACCGATCATTCTCGACACGTGGTCTCTATCCATTCTGTATAGCCTCCATGTCTAAGCCTTCTTCTACTGCTTCAGGTAAAATTCTCATCCTTACATTTGGCAGGAGGATAGGGTTTATTCCTAAGGTAAAAACCTTATAAGAAGGGGGAAATTAAGGGTTTTTTTTTTGGAGAAATCTTTTTCTTACATTTACAATACTCTACCGCCACCTAACTTTAGCATTGGAGATTCCACTAGTTCACACCTCTTTACACAAGGCCTCGGAATTAATCTCCTTGCAAGCCATCAGATTTTGAATGGCAGCTGGCAGTGTGAGTGGTTTGCAGATAAAGATTCATGTAAGCTCTGCATTCAACTAAGGAATACTAGATGTACCATCATTAGTCATAGATGCAGTACTACTTTTACTAAGGGCAACTGTAAAGAAGGGTGACAATGATGCCATTACTGGAGGACCTGGAGGATTATGGTGGACTGTCCTGCATTTTTTAGGTGTGCAGTGATGGTTGAGTTAGAGCTCATATGGTGCATGGCAAAATGGGGCAACATGGAAGAAGTACAGGGATAATTTGGAGACTGAAAAGGAAGACTTGATCTTTGTTTATATATTTAGTGTCAGAGACATCTATGATATTCATCCTCTTAATAGGTGGAAGTAATCTCCGGAAAAATGGTTAGATGACAATTAGTACAGCTATATATGGAGTAGAACTATTTAGAGAATGTTAGGCTTGCCTTTATCATTTTTCAATAATGCTACGCTTTCCTCTTTAAACCATTTGATGAAACTCCACTTCTTGGTTATATGGATCATTTACTTCTTTATTAGGATTTATGATCTAACTGGTTTCTTATCATTTGTTTACTGTTTAGGAAGATCAAGTTTTGATATCTGGTTGTTTTTCTTCTTTTATATATTTTAGTTATGTAAAGCACTTTTATGCTTATGAGCTGGAGTCATGTGAGTCTATTAATTAGCATGAGGTTTAGAAGCATATTTATTATAGTTGAGTATGATGATAAACCATGGAACTTCTTTTGAGGTAATAATAATTATGAGACTTAAATCACAGGTATGGAAATTCAACTTAGAAGGGAGTGCTCTAAAGTGATTTGAGATCAGCAAGTCTAATTTAATCAAATACACAATGAATAAAAAATGAATGAAGTTATTGTCACTAATATATATATATATATATATATATATATATATATATATATATATATATATATATATATAAAATTTTGGTTTGTGAAATTTTCAACTTTTTTAACTTGGCAGAAACTATTCAAGCTTTAGTGTAATGAAGATGCATAAAAGCTTCAAAAGACTTCATTGGAAAAAGAAAAATACTAAAAGAATTATGTTTTGCAATTTTTTCACAATTGCTAAGGTTTTCTAGTGTAAGGATTTGTTTTATAGGCTGACGTTGCAATCTTGTTTGCATCTGCATATTTTTGTAGCTTCTTTTGTTAAAAGTCTTTTTCTACCTAGAAGTCAGTAATGATGTTTGTTGAACTTGCCGAGGAATTAAGCTTCTTGTATGTGCGTCTGTTTTTCTGCTTCTCGATTAATCCCCATATCCGAAGTCTCGAATGTTTTCTTATGCAATTTTTTCAGGGATCTTTTTGATCAGCCTGAGGAAGACGAGATGCAACATACAGTAAATGTGACGGCTGAAGAGCAGGAGGCAATCGGACGAGTATGTTGTTCATCCCTTTTATACATGCTTCTATGCTATTTTTATTTTCTCCTGATATACATAAAACATGATCAGCTTGAAGCAATGGGTTTTGACCGAGCTAGAGTTCTCGAAGCATTCCTAGCGTGTGACAGGAATGAGCAGTTGGCAGCAAACTATTTATTGGAGCATGCAGGTGATGAAGATTGAAGGTACTTTGGAGAGTTCAAAAAAAAAAAAGTTATCCACTGGTTAAATAATTTCTTGTATCTGTAAGCATCAACTTCATCAACTTAATTTTTTTATTTGGCTGAGCAATCTACTAAGTCAATAGAAATAAGATTAGTGAAGAAGCAATTCATTGTATTTGTTTGTATGATTAATGAGTTACCAAGCTCCTAACATCTTTTAAGCCTAAAGTATCTGGAGATGTTTAGTGTCCAATACCTGACATTTTATGCTAGACTATTTCAAGTCTAATTAACCGAAGACATTTTTTTGCTTACAATTTATATTTTGGTGCTTACTGGTAATTCATCGTGTTTTGCACAAGGGAACTGGGATTCATCAATTCACCACCCAACTTTTGAAAGACATGGATTTCTCTGTGAAACGTAATCCCGCAGAAGTTGGAGAACATCCGGAATCTGGATGGTCATCTAATTTAACAGACACTGAGGCTTAATCACTTGGTTACTCCTCTAGAGAAAAATTGTACTTTGGATGCAGAGAAAAACTGTAGTGCAAACATAGACATTAGACCTTATTCATAATATTCTTTTTAAACAGCTAATTTTTTGTAAAATGCTGTTGTCAGTCAATGAGCTCATCTTTTTTGGATATTTAAACTTTTTTTTTTAACATCATTTGTTGCTCGATCAGACTTTCGTCAGTGGAACATGTTTCTCCTCTGATGTTTTTGAAGTGCAATCCATCTTATCTGTACGTATGTTGACAGCAAATTGATCATTGTTAACCCACAACTCTTGCCCAGCTAAAACGGTGCTGCTGCTATATTGCGCGCAAGATTGCATTTGTTCTAGCAAATCTCAAGACGAGCGATGCCCCAAAGCCTGCTGGTGCTCATGTAATCGTAAGCCTCGATTTCCTTGACATTGTTGGTTAATTAGAATATTATATTCCTGACTGCTGTTCTAACCAATGTGGTTTCTGTTTTCACCGTTATAACAATGACCACACTCTACAAAGCTATATATATGTGCTGATTATTTCTTCAGTGACCAGAAAGTGGATCACTCTCATGAAGAGAATCTCTTTCTGTATCTGATTGCAGTCGGATGTGATATTTTAAAGACCTTTTGGTATACATGATTTTTTGATTAATTTGTCTAATTAAAGAGAAAATATTATATATATATAATTTGACCAGCTAACGGTAGTTCTGATAACTATGCCTAACCCACTTGCAATGGGTCCACTATGTGCTTGTCCTCATCAGACCTCTAAATCAGGTTGACTGAGACTGAGAAGCTTTTACTGGTTGACCCTTGTGAACCTTCTCATCATGTCAACTGTCATCCAGTCAACACAGGGGGACCCATCCTCATGTGCAAGTGGTGGGACCCCGCGTTGATGCTGGAGTTAGACCAACCTTTCGATGACAAATTCATACGCAAAACAGATCCTTACCTAACTTCTGGTAGCAAATCGACTTTAAAGTCAAATCTCATGGGGTCAATCTCGTGTGCGGAAATCGACCGGACCCAACTCGTGCTCGTCTTGTACGCCCAACTTTAATTGCCCAAACACAACCAACGGTTATTTATCTGTTAACGAACTCGAATAAATGCCTTCACGTTGGTCCAAGCAAAGAATAGACCACAATTCTTCACCCTTCTCTTTCTCCAAGTTCATGTGACTCCCCCATATCAAGCCAAACCAAATTAGTGGCCCTCCGTCTCTCTCTCTCTCGACAACGCAGCATCTTCATTTGCCCCGCGACCGACGCTGATTCGGGAGCTGCTCCGAGGGTCCGGACTCGGATCTCTCCCTCCTCTTCCCTCCGTCGCGGGGTACGTGCAGTTTCCCACCCTCGAAATGCCAGATTTCTTCGCTTCCCGACGCTTTTTGATGGATGGTTTCTCTCTTTTGCTTGTTGTTACCGATTGGTTATCGTTCTGGATTCGCCGGATCACTATCTTCCGGGCGTCAGATCCATGACATGCGCCACTGATCTTTTCTTTTCTTTTTTGGTTACCATGGCTACGGATTCGTTGCTTCTTCAATCTTATTTTAATTAGTGCACTACAAGTATGTGAACATTTGCAGCGATTGCATGTCCGATTGATGTATGCAATTCCTCTCTCTTCGGAAGGAAAAAGGACTCATTTTGATCGTTTCTCAGCGATTGCATCTGAGATTTTTGGTTTTCTGCAATGATTTGACAGTCTAGTATCGTCATGCTAAGGGTAAAGGCCTCCTTGTTTGTGAGAGAGTTTGCAGTAGATAGATGCATGCATCATAGGGATTGTTATGCCCTAGTCGTCTTACATAGTGCCAGGCATCTTGAAAGTAGTGGCAACACTATGTTCCTAGAAATTAAGACAAGTTATTGTTGTCGAAACCTACATATAATATTCCTAGAAATTAATACAAAGTTACAAGGGACATTTTCTTACCCTATAAAAGTTCCTTGTTCTGGAATTGTTCAGAAGATAAATACTTGTTGGAGTGTGAGTGACAGCCATCTTTTTCTTTTTATGCAGGGCTTCAGTGAGTTCTTGAGACAAATCTAAACAGAGATGGTTCTTGATGCATTGTCATCGCCTCACAGGAGGTCTCAGAACTCGGTTTTTCTGTCATCTGCAACCAAGAAGCACGTATCAGATCACAGTGAGTTAGGTTCTTGGTCTACAATTCTTGAGCGGCACAGGTTCCTCTTGACGATGCTAGCTTTGTTGGCATTCCTGTGCACCATCTATCTGTACTTTGCGATTACCTTGGGTGCTACAGATTCCTGTTCAGGGATGTCAGGAGCCGACAAGGCACTCTGCCAGGCTAAATCCTTGCATAAGGGGAAATTAAAATTCTTCTGACCACATTGCTGCTGGAGGATGAAGTCCGGCTTGTGGAAGGCAAGCCCAAAAAGTCTTGGTGCCCCTCTTCCTTAGTTCTTCATCACCATTTAAGCAGAGCAGATAATGACCAGCATGCCAATCACAATTTTATTCATGATGTTTGCTGCTAAAAATAAAAACAAATTAGTGATTGTACTCTTTTTGGGAACCTGATGTATCTCCATGATAATGAACTCGTCGGCGAGTATTAGTCTTACTGGTTTGGTTTCTAAAGCTCTGTTGCAGACATTTTGGCACATGGAAGGTGACATATATCTATGAGAATGCAAAATAAACATGTAAAGTTTTTTGACGTGCGTCTGATGAATAGACATTATAATAATGCACGATGCATGATTTTCCTTTTTGAAATAATCAAACATAATCTATTTTAATATTTATTTATAAGTTAATATTTTATCATCATTGGTGCAAATATGAAAGCTCACGAATAATTATCCGTTTTGAATGAGTTCATACGATTTTATGAGCCTTCATGTTCGCATCAATAATAATAATATATTAATTTATAAAAATAACATTAGAAGAAGATTTATAAGTTTCTAGCATCATTCTTACTCTCGAAGGTTTTTTTTTGGGCTCACCATGAACACGTAAAATCTTACGGATTCATCCAAAATCGATAATTTCTCACAAACTTTTCTATTCGTAATTTATATTTGAATATTTTTGGTGTTGAACTGGTTATCATGGAGATCCAGTGACCTATTTCCTTGGGTTTTATGGAGGGTTTAGAGTGTCGAGGCGCATGCCCGAGCGTGGGCCAAGCGAGAGCCTTCACTTGGGCGCCGGTGAGGAGCGTGCCTCGGCCCACGCGTCCGCCTGATTCAAATCGGGTCGGAGCGAGCCACGTCACCGGATCTGGTTCGATCGAACCAGATCAACTAATATTCACACCCAACCCCACCGCGGTGCGCGCGCACGCCACGAGATCCCAGGAAACCTAATCGGCGGCAGTTCCTCTCTTCCTCTCCATCGGCGGACGGCGGCGGCGTCTTCCTCCAGCGGGCTCGTCGTTGGTATATTATCTCTCTCTCATCCTCATACTCCTCCTCTTCCTTCGCCGTTGCTCACTCCGCCGCAGCCGCCAGCGTTCCCTCTTCTTTGGCTCGTCACAGCCATCTTCCCCCTTTCCTCCCTGCGCCGACAGCCTCCTCCTCGTCCCTTCGCTGGCGTCTTCCCTTCTCCTTCCTGCGCCGGAGGCTTCCTCCCGGCAGCGCAGCAGCCGCACCTCCCCTCCTCCTCCTTCTGTTCGGATCCTTCATCCTTCCTCCCCTCCCAACTGACAGCAACCCCCCTCGCCATACCCAACAACCCCCTCTCCATCCTTCTCGTACTTCTATGTTAATTGTTTTATTAAGATAGATTTGGACAAAATAATTTGGTACTTTAAATGAATGTAATTTGATATGTCATTTTTTGTTTCAGTGATTATTTTTATCAATTACGATATATATATTTAAAATTTTAATATTCATGAGCACTTCACTTTGTCCGGGTGAGCACCTACAACCTTGGGTGTTTTGACACCTTGGCACCTTTTAGCATCTCTTGCCTTTGATTACACTTCTTACTTTCATGTGCTCTTATTAATTCTCTCATTGATTGCTTGTAGCTGGTCTAGTTTAGCTGGAGGTATCTAGTATTAGGAGGTTGCTAAGACTTGCGTTTAGGATGTTGGTATTAGGAGGCGGCCAAAAATTGGTTTTTATCTTTTGAATCTATCGACCAGGGATTGGATTGATTTAGTTGTTGGTTGACTTCTTATTACTTGTGCTCTATGGACTGTCCTTTTTAGCTGCCCCCTTCTGATGCCTGGCATTTTGTGTTAGATATTAGGATTGCAGGATATACTGTTAAATCACCGTAGATCTGATCAGTGTAAGTGTCCTATTGCCTAACCTTAATGGCCAAAATTGAAGTGGGCTTTTCTCTTTGCAAGAAGCAGTTCTTCAATCTTAGTTGATGGTGCATGCAGTTTGTTACTTTTTGCAGGGTATTTGTTTTCTGTTGCATCTAAATGTGCAAAACTTTGTTGGCTTTTAGTCCAGTTCTTATGTGCTTTCTCCTGATAGTTTCTCTGTTGTAATTGTTATGTCCATTTCTGATACGGACTACTTATTAGGAACCCCAGGAGAAAGTATTGACGATATTGGAAATTCAAGAAGATGGTTTTGAAGTATGTCTCAGCATCCGACTTATGCATCATCCATGCCTTAGTAGCAATTTTTTTATATTTTGCATTAACAATTACTCTATATATGTTCTCTACCATTTGTCACCATCACCTTTCATGTTTTAGTTTTCCTCTTTTCATGTCTTATAAATTTGGGAAGTAATGTGCTATAGTTTTATGGGAATTTCCGATATTTGATTTTTATTGGATTAAAATTTGTATCTTTCCCTGCATTTACTAGTGAAAATTCTTATTTCATGTTAAACTGTTATCACTGGAACCTTATGGCTTTCCTGCAATAGTTTCTGTATTTCGATAGTGCCTCTGTTATCTAGATGGTCATGTTATGTGCTTGTCTTTCAGGACTAAACTCTGCTGTTTTACTGGTGTCAGGTTATATATCCAGGAAAGGATATTACATTTGTTCGATCTGACTCACAGGTGAACTTGTTCAGATCTTATTGTGGATCCATATACATGATTCAAATATTTTTATGTTCTGTTTCAACTAATTCATGGATCTGTTTAGGTCTTCTGTTTTGCAAACTCAAAATGCAATCAATTACTTCCACGATGGTCTGAAACCTGCTAAGCTTACTTGGACTGCAATGTACAGAAAGCAACACCAGAAGGTATATGTTCCAGATTCACTCTATTTAATAGAATTCCCCAGTTAGGAAAAGGTTAAGAAATTTTATTAAATTTTAAACATTTTAGTGAGCCCTTTGAAGAGGTCGCTTGAATTTTGGGTAAGTTACCATATTGTTGTTTTCAGATATCATGAACTTATTCTATTTCATACTTCAGAGCTTTGTTCTGTATGGTAAAGGACTTCCTATGCTAGTAAATTTTTTGGTCTTTTGGTCCTTTGTTTGGTTTTGGTCTAAGCTTTACCATTTAATTAGTTGTGCGTCTATGCTACACATTGTGAAACTCCAGAACACCTTCTTCCATGTCCCATCTCCATCCCATATCACGATCTTTCCTCTAAACCCTACGAGTTCGATCTTCCCTCTCCCCCATGGTTACCTTGTTGAACGCTGCTTCTGCCACTCCCTTCAACACCTGCCTTTCCAGATGCCCCAAGGTACTAACCTCTCTACTGTCACTTTTTATGTTTTCCTTTTGTCTAGATTGTCTACCCTGGCATGGATGATATGATCTTCTTAGTATTTTTTTTTGTTTCTTTTCCGTATCAATGTATTTAGTGAATTATTGACTTAATTCTTGTCTTTCTTGAACCTTGCTCTATTATGAGGAGATCGGCTTTTGGGAACCCTATGTTTTCTTATCTTTCCATTGTCTTGGTCTGATTCTTTAGATCACCCTCATCTAATGCTATTGTCCAGGTCTCATGTTTCTAAGATGATTCTTCTCTGGTCTTCTTTGTTTCTTTCTTTTGTGGGAAGTTGTAGTGTGAATTAGCAACTGTTGATAGTGTCAGCAATTGGTTGATCTGGAAATCCAAGAAACACACATTGATCTATTCCACGATTTATGGGTGATAATATCATAATTCGTATTTAATTTCATGCTTCAATCTTAAGCTGATGAAAGGATGGCTGCAAGCAACAAGCATCCAAAACCTATGGATTTCATGCCAGATTATAAATTTGCATGGAGAATTTATCTTTTCAATCTTAAATTAAGCTATTTCTGTGCAATATCTCATGAAACACTTGTCTGATAACAGCACAATATGTCATAGTTGTGATTCTTGTGAAGCCAGTTTTTATAGATATGACCACTTCTTTAAAAGCCTAGGTTTCTTGGCTCCACATATAATAGATTGTGACTGTTGAACTATAAGTAATTATTTGATAATAATTGAGTAAAATTTATTAAATATTGAATAGGATATGGTTCCACGCAATGTATTTAGTATGTTACTCATGGCACTCCCTCAATCAATTGAGTTGAATGTCTTTCTTCCTAAACTAAGATATTGTAATCATGGTAACGAATATTGAGCTTAGACAACATCGTTGATTGTACAGACAATGATTTAAAAAGTGCTAGGTGCCAAAAGACATCAAGATCTCAAAATGCTTAAGGCGTTAGGCTTTCTTTTCTCATTTGGGCGAAGCAAGATCCTCTAAAATATTAAAATATAAAAAATATAATATAATTGATAAATATGATTATATAAAATATAATATTAATTACTATTAACAGTAGATTATCTATTGTTAACAGTAGTTAGAAGGAGAGAAAAGAGTCACTGACTGTGGAAACCGGGGAAAAGAGTCACGATTACGATGGTGTTGAAGCTGTGGACGACGGTAGTGGCGGAGGAAGTTTCGGATGACAACAACAACAACAGAGGAAGCTGCAGATGATAGCATCGACACCGGTGGAAGCTGCGGATGGCGATGTCGTAGGTGGAGGAAGCTTCAGAGGTGTCTGTCGGTGGCAGAGGAAGCTATGGTCCTCTCCCTCGATGGTGGAAGGAGCTACACACAGAAGTAGTGGCGACAGAAGGAACTACGCACCAAGGCTAGGCTGTCGGCGGCGGAGGCAATCACCAACTAGCTACTGTTCAGTCAAACCAGACTTAAAAATTTAGTTTGGTTGCTTCATTTAAACCGAGCGTTCGCCTGAGGTGCTCGGGCCTCACCTCATGTTGCTTCACCCGAGCACCTATTTAAACCACTGTGTACAGATAAGGGGATAGTGATACTAGATCCATTCGCCAATGACATTAGGACATAGCAGTGCACGAGCATTGGTATGGCCTCGATGGTGATAAGGTTGTTGAGGCAGTTAGGGTGTGTTGTTGAGGCAATTAGGGTGTGGTGTTGAGTTTAGGGTAGAAGAGCAGACGGGAAGATGTTACACAAGGCTCTCTTGTTTGTCACGAACTTACTTAGTTTTGTCTAAGTCGTGTGGCACCTTTACGTTTTCATCTATAAAGGGTCAACCTCCACAAAACCTCTTATGGTCCCTTAAGGAGCTACAAAAGAGAAGACGAGTTAGAGGAATTGTTTAACCTAAGATCTTGCAAGCAGACATTTTAGCAAACACTTGATAGGCAATGCAAAATACAAACATAGACTGCATAAGCTTTGAACAGTCGTGTGACAAAGGGTTCAAGGTGGTCCGTCGCGATCAAAAGTCCCTACAAGTATCCACATAATATTGCTGCAGAACAAGGCACCGAACCAGTCCTAGACACTACCCCAAAGGCTCATCCAGCCATGTGCCACCCGTGTAGCTCTTTGGTGTTGTGCTGGTTGACACTTTGCACCACTTTGTGGAGTTAGAAAACCCCTAAAATGGTTGCCTAGGTGGCCTGTTTTTGGACAGTTTTGCCTTTGCGCGATGATTTCACATAACCAACATTTATAGGACTAAGATGGCCAAGCAAACCAAAATGGGATTGTCAAGCCTATTGCAAGCTCTCTATATGTTGTGCTAGGCATGAACAAAACTGAAAGACACAGACATATACAAACATTACGTCAAACACCCTTTATACAAATTTGTCGGTGACATGTTGGCAATGGACCGATAACATAGGTTGAGAAATGGAATGAGGAGCATGGTGTTACTTGTTGACAGTGCCCAATGAATGAGGCAATGGCAGTTGGCAGGAGGAGACGAGAATAAGGTGGTTGACAAAATTGATCCAAAAAAGCTTAAATTCAACCAAATTGAAATCCCAGCCACTAGGACTTGCTTGATTCCCATAACGCTGCAATTTCAAATTAATGGTCATTATTGTCGGCAGCATCAACTAATGCCAAATTGGCCTTGTCGACTCTCTATAAACTTCTATCTAATAACGTATCACCTGTTGCCATGTCAAATTATACACATGGTCACTCCTCACTGATAGAAAAATTGTGGCATCTTCACAGATACATAGTGGAATTCTCCCTGGGCATCAATAAAAATGGTTCCTCATTCCCATATTTGATTAGCCTGTTTTCGTTTTTGGAAAAAAGAATAAAAAGACAACCCTCTTAAGGGTCGGTTATCTTTTATTGTATTTTTAGAATTTTTTAACTTAATTTTAAAAATTGTAGTGGTTTGCTTTGTTTTGTTGTTCTTTTGTGTTTTGTTGAATTATTGAGAATGCATCATTATCGTTTGTGAGCATATAGATATGTAGCTCAAGGCTTCTTTGCTATAATATGTTCTTTGGATTATTGTGCTTTTGTTTTGAAATAAAACTCGGGATCAATATAACTATAAATCTTGGTGATTTCCCAGAAAAAAGCCTCAGGTGTTTGGTTTTTCTTGATCGACCCCCTTGTTCTCAATATGCATGCACAAAGCATAGTTTTTCTCATTGAAACCCGGGTGGTCTGGACCTTTTCTCTAGCCAACTGATCTAGTGAAACCAATTACAATGCTTTTGAATGTGCTTACAATGTTTTTGATTACTAAGGCAAGATACTGTTATACTATTCAAAAATACTATAATCGAGCCACAATTATTTCAAATCCCTACCAATCTTATTTATCAAACCTAAAGTTATGTTTTCATCCAGTTCACTGGATGGTTTAAACCTAAGCATGCCCATCCACTATCCAATTAGCTATTTTAATTTTATATTGTAGAAACACATACATAGCTTTAGTCTGTATGTCTTTTAAGCATCAACATGTAGAATTTAATATATTTGAATGCTCAAATTTGTGGTTTAGGTCTGATGGCTTTCTGGAGGCAAGTTCAGCATTATCTCCAGGGAGACTTATATTGCTCCCTCTTGCATTTGAGGCAGTATGGTTCAAAAGTTGATTGGAATAAGCTTCGGCCAATGATTTTGAAAAGAATAAGAAACAGAGCAAAAGATTATCCTGTCGTGAGAATGATTCCTATAGCACAAGATGTTCTAAAATCGAGAGAAATGTTGGCAGAAGGCATCTCTACTCTCCTCAAGTTTATCCCGGTTAAGTCATGCAAGTAAGCATCTATGTTCCTTGCAATTCTTGTTAGCTACAAGTTTTTTGTTTGTTAATCCATTTTCACTTCTGAAAATGCTGGTTGTTTTCATTCTCTGTAAGGCTCATATAAATATTCTTACAAAATAAAGAGTCCTGCCATGAACATATGAAATTATGAATGAATAGGAACTTCTTTCAAATATATTTCTTTAGGGAACTAATAAATGCTGATAATTGGAGACAGATGGGTTTCATGTCCCAAAACTTTCAGCCTTTTAATGTCAGCTATGTTGTTTGTTAATTATTTTGTCCCTTGGATTGTTACATAAGACATCTTTTACTGTCGCCTGAACTTCTTGTGTATCCACTGATACTTGTTCAGACCTGCTTATTATATTTACGGGGAGCATTACATACTTATATTGTTTTTTCAGTATTGATTTCTTGAATTATCCTCTTACTGTTCTTTCTTGTTAGTCACAGGTAGTTATGTTATTCCAATACAAGGAACTTTTCTTTTATAAAAAACAGTCACTTTGCACTTCATTTAGTTCATTGGGGATTGGTACTTTGTACGATTTGTTAATCGCTATGAGATTATGAATTGGTAGTTTTCCTTGGATCTTCATTTGTCTGACTCATTCTCATGATTTTATAATTCATCCTTCATTGTTCCTCTTTCTGAATTTGTGTCTTCCCTTCCCACTTCACCTTCTTCTTAGTTTTTCTCTTTTGTTTGTTTTTCCATGACTTAATTGCAATTTTTTCAATCATCCATTTAGTCAACATGATCTTAAATTTAGATAATTTTGTCTTGAGTGGTTTTTTTTTGTAGCTTGTAGCTTTTGTAGGAGATTTCTGATTTTTCAATAGAATAAACTTCTTTGTCCACTGGTTCTGGTTATTAAATATCCATCTTTCTTTCTTTTAGTTTTTTCTTTATTTTTAGAAGAAATGAAAGATCTTTTTTTTTGGTGCTTATGCATAACTACACTCGTTCTCTGCATGTTCAATCCATTCGTAAGCCTGTTTACCAAACCTGTTGTATGCAAGACTAAGACCATCCATGGAATGTTCCTCAGTGTCTTATGAGGTGAATGAACCTGTAATTGTTGTGCGTTAAATAAACCTGGATAAGATGCATCACGCACAGGATTTATTTGCACGCCAACCAAAAGCAACTTAGTTGATATTTGTAGTTTCCGAGATAGTTTGTTATTGGCTGACTGCATACTTGTTCTGGTTAGACTAGAATTTTGTAGCTTGTGAAGCTTGCTTTGTTGGTTCTGATGACCGCTGTTTTCTTTCTCATATTCCTACTAATTTTATCGACTGTTTACAGCATGTCTGATGCCCAGGCCTGCATATGATTGCTGAAATCTTGGCCATTTTATAAAGTGACTTGAACTGTTGCTCTTCAATAACGTTTATTTGCAGTTAATTGGTATTTTGGGTGAATTGGAAAAAGAATTGGCTGATTCATTCCACCATAACATGATTGTGAGGCTGATTTTAAGTTTTGTTTTTCATCTGTACTACAAAACAATATTAGACTTTCATAGCGGAGCTATTTTTGAACTTTCCAGTTATGATCTTTCTTCCAGGTTTTGTCCTGAAGTATATGTTGGTGAGACAGGGCATCAGATTAAAACCTGTTATGGCTTTAAGCATATTATTAAGGACCAGCCACACCATTGGACTGAAGGAAAATTGAATGATATCCTCACTCCAGTTGAGTCCTTTCATCTCCAAGATATGCATCAAAGCATCATAAAGCATGACCAGAGATTTGACTTCCATCGTGTTCCAGCTATTGTTGAATTATGCTATCAAGCTGGAGTTGAAATTTCAGATGAAGTTTTGTATAATTGCAGTCCAGAATCCCCTCGTAGCCAAGGAAACACAGTAAAGGCTGGTGTTTCGTCGGACAAAGACATCAAGTTAGTTGCTCAGGTCACCTTGGATGCCTGGGAGACGCTCAGGCTGGGAGTACAGAAGCTATTGCTAGTCTATCCAGTGAAGGTCTGCAAGTATTGTTCAGAAGTCCACGTTGGGCCATCAGGGCACAAGGCGCGACTCTGTGGGGTTTTTAAATTTGAAAGATGGAAGGGATCCCACATGTGGAAGAAAGCGGAGGTGGATGACTTGGTACCACCAAAGATGGTGTGGCATCGGCGGCCTCACGATCCACCTGTGCTTGTGGATAGCGGGCGGGGTTTTTATGGGCATGCACCAGCTGTCGTCGAGCTCTGCATGCAAGCTGGTGCCAGAGTGCCGATGAAGTACTTCTGTATGATGAAGGTCCATGGGCTCACGGCCACTTGAGTTTTATGATGGTCACTCACACGATGCTTGCTCGAGACCGTGCTTCGATTCAGATATGACACTCTAAATGGCACCTTCATTTTTTCTCAAGAAAAAGTGATTTGAAACTTCACATATTAATGATTTCTGATGTCCTCCTGAGGGATAGCATCTCACTGCAATTCATCGGATTTGACATTGAAAGCAGTTCAAATGCCAAAGTTGGTCAGGAAGTTTGATCGGAAGGAGATCTGATACCTATTTCTCGCTGTGCAAGAGACTTGAAAGGAATCAACTGATGGAGGTTTCTCATTTGATACTCCATGTTGTTGTGGAGATTTGGAGTGAAAAGATTAGATTATGCTGCAAGACTCTTACCAGCGAGCAGCTAAAGTGACATTGTTTTCCCAGAAGAGAGTTCATTGATTCTGTCAAGCTTATTTATTTTGATGCTTTAAAATTATTGTTTTTATGAACTTGAGGAGAAAATGAATCGTTTTGAAGTATTTTTTTATTGTGTTCAAAATTTTGTTGTGATGCGTCAGTAGTACCGAGGAGAATTCATCCAAATACAAGGGGATTTGAAGGTTCATGCAAAACATGCTAATCGTTTACGAGCTAAGATAACTAAAGCAAAAAATAATAATAATAATACTCGTATAGTTAGTTCATCAAGTTTTAGTAAGATTTTTCTTCATATCTAATGTAACATCCCTGATTAATCTCACATTCAAAGTTGACAAGACTAAGATTGGCTTATAAGGGTCTGATGAGTGTACTACTATTAATTTTAGCTTAAGTATTTTGATCAGTGGTTTAGACCAAGGGATTCAATTACCAGCGTTGCTACGCCATCATCAAGAGCTGACCTTGATGATCAACTCGAATACGTGTCAAACGGCCTTCACTAACAACAACTACCTGAATCCTTCGAATTGGCCGGTTTCGCGAGCCAGTTTGGTTGCAGAAATGGGTGGTGCCTCGGAGACACCCACGTCGTGACTCTTCCTCGAGACTCGGACCATCGCCCTGTCACAGCTGGAAGTCACAAGTACGCACTAGGGTTTATGAATCCCTCTCTCTCTCTCTCTCTCTCTCTCTCTAAGCTCTTTCGGTTTCTTAGATTCTCAGTCCGTGCGAAGCCCTTTGCCTTGATTCATTTTCCCGTTCGTGCTACTCATCATGTTTGTGAACCCCCTCAATAGACTATGCTTCTGTGGTCTCTTGATGTAGGTAACATATTTATGATTGAATTTGCAAAGATCCATGGAGAAATAAATAGAGAGTGTTTCTTAATGGCTAGATCGAAGCCGACTGTGGATGATTCTTGTGAGGAAGGGTTTTTCTGTGTGAATCAATTTTTGATGATTGGTTATCGTTCCATTCTTTAAAATGGTTTTTCCGGTTCGGCAAATCGAATTGGGTTTCCGACCATAAGGGAGATCTGCGTCAGGTACAGTGATTTCTGTGATGATCTTTGCGGTGAGTTCTGGCGTTTACAAGTTACAATGAATGCAATTACTAGTGGTGATGCTAATTTTATCTGCCTGGTCGTCAATCTATCTCGGAACAAATTGATTGTAGAGGTAAGCTGGTTGAGAAAGTCACAAGATGTTTGTCACAGTTCTATAAAATAAAATAAAAAACGATATTGAAGTGAATGATATAGCGAGCATTAATTGTTTGAGTCACCAATGTTCTTCGGTAAGCGTTTAACTACTTCCGATGAACATGTAAGCACTTGTTAATCAGTTCTTGGAATAACGTGGAACTTGTTATGTTTGCCTTTCTACATAAAAATTATCATTTGAGATGAAAGACCTAGTTTGTCATGTCATTGGGCCAGCTGAATCTACCAATTGTTTTCCTAATCATTCATCTAGAAATCTGATATTGTAGTCGGTTGGCCAAGATATCAGATTTCTAGACTGGGATGAGTTGGTCCGGAGGAGGAAGAGATGCAGGTGGAGGGCGAGCATGGATGAGAGAAAGAAACAGAGTAAGAAAAAGAAAAAGAAACAAGAGACGGTGATTGCCATTGCTATCAAAAAATTAGGTACCGGCCGGTACGTTTACCATTTAACCCACCTTGTTTCAGTAGCTTAATCTGGGCTTTATGCTCGGTAAGATACACATATTGAGTGATATGCCCAATATGAACACTGATGGACCACATATAGGTTCAATCACCATATTTTCTTTTTCCTATCTTTTTAGTTTTATTGCATTTATTTTTCTTTCCATTTCTCAGTATTTTAGGTGATCTCATTGCAATTTGATTCTATTGCTAGGTTATTCTAGTTCTAAATATAAGATAGTTTGTGCAAGTAAAGAAGATAGTTGGGAGGAACTGAAACAACTTTTACAGAATAATAAAAGAAGTAAGAGAAATAGAAAAAAGGATAATAAGGATTAGGTAGCATTGCAGGTCTTGTATCTACTTAGGTTTTAAAGGATCAATAATGCTCAGGGGAGTTTATAGGTTTCATTTACTCAGCTTGAGATGCATTTTTGGTGAGTTAATAATAACCTGTAATGACATCTACTACTCTTCACAAAAGGGCAATCCAGTGCATGAGGTTTCCACTAATGTGGTGTCCAAGGAGGGTCATTGTGTGTAGCCTTCAGCAATCCAAGAGACTACTACTCCAAATCAAAATTGTTGATCTTGTGTATTTGTTGACGGTGCTTAGTTTGCTTATTTAAGATGCGGTTCTGATTAAGTTGACATTGCTGCAGTGCAAATCGGGGGCACGAAGATCATTCAAAAATTATTTGTAGAGGAGAAGGATGAGGCACTCGACCTGTCCCAAGGAGAGAGAGCCCCTGGGGCTTCCTTGAAGGTGATACACGACATTCTCAGGCACACAGATGCAACGTCCGTGCTGAAGACAGACAGACGTATGTTATCCAGGTTCTCCTTGGTTTCAAATCTTCGAAACTGTATTTTCATTTGATCCATGGTTGAATTCTGAAGTCCTTCTGGTATCTTATCATTTCTGTTTGGTTGTGCATATTTAGGAATGCGCTCAGGTTGTTGACTCTTTTTAACTTTTTCAAAATTATAGTGTGCTAAGGTTGAGTAAATTTTCTCACTCCTTGCCAACTTTATATTTGAAAGGTGAATGGAATTAAAAAAAAAAGAATTAAAATGTTTACATCTACCAAACCTCTTATGCCTTTAGATGCATGTAATGTTGGTTTCCAGGATCTGTCCGATTTAGCATCAATTAATTTACTAATGTTTTATTTCTTGTTCCGTTTTTAAGTACTTCTATAGGGTACTCTTTATTTTTCAGCGTTTTTGTATACTCTACAAGGTGAAACTTTTATGTTCAATTTTTGTTGCTTTGAAGGAAATCCATTTGAAACAGTTCCAGGCCCTTTCGAGCTCTTTCGGCAATGCATGCGATCAAAACCTGGGTATACTTGATCTCCTACTGCTTTCTATCTTACTTTGGGCTTTCTACGTCAAGAACAGAAATTTTAACTGATGGGTGATTATAGCAAGTTTTATATTTCTTACATTTAACAATGAATGATAGATAGCCTTTTCTAATTTATTGCCGACTCGTAAGTCAGTATCCACAACCTTCCCCTACCAACCAGCGTGTGTTTGGTGAGTCAAATCCTAGACAACTTGGCTATCGAGGCCTTCAGTCATAAAGATGTAAATTCCTTTTGGAAGAAGCATCATCTATTCTAACCGTACTAGTTGTTTGGCCCACATAAATAATCCTGATATAAAAGATGCATTTCTGGAGAGTAGAAGAGATATTTCTGTACCTGGAGACGATGGAGTGGCTGCTACACCTCTGAAAAAGGAATTCTTCAGTATGTTTGTTATCCGGGAGATTGAGGTTTCAGGTTTAACCGATGATTTCTCCTTTGTCACGGACTGTGTCGATGGGTCTTGGCATGTGAGACAAAACCATACTCGCGAATGGATTCATGACACACTACTACGGTCTTCCCAACAGCTAGCTATATGGTAGGTACGGTTCGATACGAAGGTACGATGGTTTAGAATCGAACCGAACCAAAAATGGATTTCGGTGGTTCAATTCCGTCGGTCTATTTGATTTCGAACCAATCAACCAAAAAAAAAGATTATCTTTAAATGAATTTACTCCTTTTTAATAAAACCTGACATAGGGCTAATTGAAAGGGTATTTTGAAAAAAAATCTAAAATAAATAAAATCTTGCAGCATTAGACAAATCGATTCAAAACAGATCCAATTTCCATTCTGATTTCAATTTCCAAAACAGACAAAATTAGGACTCGTTACGATGGCCAGTCTGGGTATTAGAAAATATTACGAGGACGTCATGAATTGAAATGGTGGCAGGCTTTTGGTCGATGGCCATCGCCCAAGGTGAGAGTTCGTTCACCTCCAACGACTGGTACTCGATTACATCTTGACGGGGAACAAACGAGGATGGCTAAGGAGGAGCGCCATGTCAAACGATAATGCTCCTATTGCTTATAAAGATGCGCAAGTAAAAAAAAAACCACATTGTATGACACCACTACTGATGGGTCAAAACATCCTATATTAGCAAATACATTAAGCCAAGAAGCTGCCCCTACACACCAACTCCCCCTCCCCTTCCCCCTATATTAGGAAATACATTCATTCTACCAAGAAGCTGCCGCTACTTCAACCAGACAATTTCGTACGAACCTGCAAGCATCACCAGCAGTCAAAACAGCTCTTGCTTTGACAGACCATCACCTCCTTTTTAACTTCCCATGAAATCAAATTAGAAATTGAGAAAGCCTCCCATCTACTTTTGGCCAGGAAATCGGCCAAATGATATGTGAGGCACCCATCGGAATCGAAAACGAGGAAACAAAAGAAAAAAAAAAAACCAAACTTGTAATTATCACTGCAACACCTCCGGACACTATGAATCCACCATCTCATCCTGTAGCTCGTTTGGGGCAATTAGCCCGGGGATCGACAACATTCTCTGGCGTTCACGTTCTCTTTGCGCTGCAGCCTCCTCGGCGTAAAGATCCTTGTTGTCCTGTGGCATAAAAAGTTTTGTGATGAGCAACATCCTTGTACACAGAAGCCATACACCTTGTATGAAGTTTTCAGCAGCTGCTAGAGGCAATATGATAGACTACGACTGCATCTTCTTCTATGGTAATACACCATGAATTGTGTTCTAAACCCACAAAGAAGTGCAACAGTATTCAACATTAGTCACACTAGCAATACCTGAGCAGAGAACTCTTTTGATTGCACAAGAAAATCTCGTATATGGTTCTTGAAGGTTGGAAGATCATTTCTTGACTCAAATAATCCACCAACAAATTGAGTTATCTAGAAAAAGAAAAGCACTGTTATTCAGCAACAAGCTTTCAGTGAAAATAAACAGGATAACATAACATATAACAGGATTAGAATCTCATCTTTACCTCTGGTGTCGTCATATTTGGAAAAGATGATCCTAGTAGTTTTATGGTGTAATCACGAACAAATACTGTATTATTTGCATATGGATATGGAACTGTAGAAGCATCCCATAGGGGCTCTGTTAATGCACCAGAATCAACCTGAAGTATAACCAAAATTCAGTGAACAGACCATGCAAAAAAGGTAATAATGTATTTACTTCTTACCAAACAAAACAAATGCTGAAGCACTATAACATGCAACTTAAAGCCAGGCTTGTGGAATGTATCTGTCAGGACAGCAAAAATTTCTTGCTCGATTGTCAAATAGTATGTTCTATAGAATTGGTTACAGAACTCCGAAACCTGACAATAAATCATATCAGATGGTAAGACTAAGGCCGGCCAGTCTCAGCAATATATCAGAAAGCTGTCCTAATTTGGAACATCTGCCAAACCTGGAAGTTCTTCAGCAACTCTAACAAAAGACTAAGTCCAGTCTCAGCAATATTCCTTTCAGTATGCCGAAAAGCCCAGATGATTGAATCCATCACAAGTTTCAATTGCTGACATAGAACAGAAATACACGAAATGAAACCATAATATGACATATCCAAATAGATAAATAATGAAATCATTGCTCACCTGACTTGAGAGTTGAATTAAAGCTTGAAAACAGTGAGTACCAATTGCACGCAGTAAAGAGAAAAACTTAAGGCGATGTTCTGGGTAATCCTCAAAATTCTTGGTGATCATCTGAAACAACGTTGAAGTTTGCAGCAGAATGAAACAAACTCTAACATCTGCAAAAGCATCTGAAGTTCATACTCCTCACCTCAAGCGTGCACTGAAAAACAGCTTCAAATATGCGAGGTACATACTCCATCATGACACCTCTATATCTGCATGAACGGAGTTCAATATGAGCATAAAGATAGGAAACCAGGAAGTTGATGCACTGATAACAATAGTGTAGGTGTATTGGACATAGATGCGGATCAATTCTATTGTAAATAATCATTATAAATTATTAACAGAAGATTGAACTAAGAAATGCAGTTCTTGAGCTTCAAATTTTAAGAACAATCTAGCAACTAAATTTATCCATCACTGAATTCATTCCATAACTAAGAGCCATAGTGCCACACAACATGCATACTAAAGTTAGTATTCAAGATCATTGAATCATTCATGACCTAAATGATATACATATCATCGTTATTTTTTCTGCATTTAACATAAAATGATTCTATCCTTTTTAAGCTCATCACTATCATCAGAGGGAATTTCTGCCCCCAGACACTGAACCCACATGATTAATAGATGAGATAGCATTTTTTAAGCTCATCTGCAGGGGAAAAAACTCCAATGTGATCAATCAGCTACCTCAGAGGGAATTTCTGCCCCCAGTCACTGAATCAATGTCAGACTGGGTAAATGCACTCTACTTCTATATTTGAAAATTCTCGTGGAACAAGTGATTTCCTCAAAGACTTGGTGATCAATGTACTAAAGAACCGACTTATCTAAAGTTAACAAAATAACTGAATATCCGGAAGCCCAAGGCACACAGTGGAGACAAGTAATGCCACATAGGATGCATTCTGCAAGAGATGCACATGCAGACTCATTTGATGCCTACATGGTGCTTGAAGAAAGCAATGTTTTGGCAGGTAAAACCAGCTGAGACACAAAAACAATGGCCAAAACAGATAGGATCCACCATGTTCTGACTGGTACTAATATGGCATTCTGCAACCGGAACCAGTTAACCGATATGAAAATCAGTACATCTAGAATGCACCATCATGGTTATCCCAAGATCCTGAACAAAACATAGCAAACTCCATAAAGGCACTCTCAGCATGTCCTTATTTCCTAGAACTATTACTCGATGAAAGTTTAACTCATAAAGTCCAAAAAGTTCAGCATAAAACATGTGTGTGCATATTGAAGCCGTGTGGATGCAGAAACAATTAGTCCGCCACTCCTTATGAGACATTGATCTCTAATATCTTAACCAAAAAAATGAATATAAAGTACATGTTTTGCGATAATAGATAAACATGAACATATGGAAAATTTTCTGGAGCTTATACATACTTGTTTATAATTGTTGCAAAGAGTGACAAAACTTCAGATTCCCTGGCATCTGGCAGGTTTCTAGCATAGTCACCAAGGACAGGATCCATCATTGGTGGCACAAACTGCCTTCCGATATGTGGCTGATCTTCAGCCTTGTCTACAAATGTCTCGATTAGCTTGAGTGTCTCCCGTTTCACAGATCTGTTATTATATTAAAATGAACATAGATTCTTTAAAGATTTTAATAAACATTTTCCCTATAGATTTAAAAGGCCTAAATAATCAGAAAAATTAATTGGCAGCAAATTGGCAGCAAGACAACAAGCAAACTGTTAAACCATACCGCAAAAGCTTCACAAAAGATGTTTTTGAGGCAAAGGGCCCTCCTTCAGCTATACTACTAGATATTAACTCACTGTACATTCTGTAAAGAAGAATCATATATTATCAGGTCTGTAACATTTAAGCAAAAATTGATTAAAGCAGGGCTTATGTGGGTGACATAGGAAAAGAAAGTTCTAATTCCCTGTATTTTCATATAAAACCACAAAACATTAAAGAATGTCCACCTGTATACAGTAAGCATGTCCAAGAATATCAGAGATATTTGTGGAAAGAAATATGTCCCAAGAGAACTAGCAGCACTTGTGTTTGTCTGCCAAGCATCACCAAACACACAAAATTAGAAACATGTTACTAATGCAGTCACAAAATAAACACAATAGCAGAACATCATAATCATTACAACAAATGCTACTAATAGCTATATGTCACTAGTATTAGTCATTTCTGCAAGTAGTCAAACGCATTAGAAGTACGATTATAGATTTCTACGTATCACAAGACATAATAGAAACTAACAATTAGTTATCAGACATTATGTAAGAAAGCAAGGACTTCTACAGCATGTTCTTTGAAGACAGTAAGGCCGAAATTAGGATATGAATAAAAAAATGAATCTTTTGAAAAAAGAGTAGACACAAATTACGCATCAATAGAGAGACTATGGCCTTAGAAAATAAGCAATATGAATAATGCAACACTAACTTTGAACCAACATAGCATGTAAATTTTGGTAATGATTAATCGGACTGTCATTTGCTAATTGAAAAATAAAAAAGATTTTTCTGCAGGTACCTGCAATATATTAAGAACTGCTCTTATGACATCTTGATCTTTCAGGACATCAACACTAAGACTTGCTTGTCCAATGATTTCAGCCCATTTCTACAAATAATCATACATTGCAGTAAGGACACCACTAGGTATGGTACAAAATACAAATATGTTGTTACTTATTAGCATATGACTAAAAACTTGAAAAGTTTGGAAAGAATTCGTACTTACCTGATTTGGAAGATCCATTAACCTTCTCAAATATTCATCCCTCTTAGAAGGATCAGGTTCTGCTTGAATCATATGGCCAACCTGCATTCAGAAACAATAGAACATTTATGAATCTACAAAATTCTGTTAAAATTGATCAGAACAATAGTTTGATGAGAGTATTAATTGTTATTCTTACGGATTCATAAAATGAGTGAATCTGGTGAGGCTGAAGATCTGAAACAGTACTTGGTAGACTCGACAGAAGTTCAGAAACAAATGGCTCATTCTCTCCTACCTGTATCCTCAGAAAACATTCTTTCCATAAGATAAATGCTTGCAGAATCTAAGGTCATGCTAATAAGTATCTTTGATGATGACTGAACTCTATGACTACTAAAGCCCATTAAAGAAACGATTTGGACCCCCAGCAAATTATCCATGCACCTGAACTCACATTAGGATTCCTTATTAAAATTAAAAAAACGGCTGAGCGGTATAGTTTCATAAAGTTTAACAAAAATTCCACAATCTCCAGAGAACTTTAGATACAGAGGGGCCCAAGCATCATGACCAGACAAAGTAAGCCAACCAAGAAAGCAGGTGATGTCACCAAATTGGCATGCCAAATCAGGAAACAAATAATACTTCTCAAAAGTTATTGGACTGCTGAAGATCTGAACCCCTCCCCTCACCACCAAAGAAAAAAACAAAAAAAGAGTTCCACTATCTCCATACCACCCACTATAGCAGAGTAGTTTAAATTAGAAAAAGATAATATCAACTAGAAAAGTGTTCATAAGTACAAAAGAAGAGTTACTGCCATAACTCATTGTTGATAAGCAAAGGTCAGCTTACCTGGGTGATCACAAACTTACGCTTACATTTCTGGACAATTTTCAGAAAAGTATCACAAGCCATGTCCTGGAAATAAAACAAAGTTCAGTATGTAGCACAAGAGGGCAAAATCATAGGACACATATCAAATTATGCAATCATTGATATGTAGTTCGAAAACCAAATTTAGTGAAACCAGTATTAGTCAAAACAGCTAACTGGAAACATATATGCAAGTACTTATATAGCTGATAGGATTCATGGACTTAGTTGTTAGGCATAAACCAATCACCTAAGTGGAAGATAAGAATAATAGACTTTGGTTCTTTGGCTTAAAGGAACCAGGAACTAGAGTTCTGTTAGTTCCAGCATTCTGCCAGTTGAAGCACAAGCTGATCAGCTCCTACTTTCAGCTTCAGACAATGGGGCAAAAACCAAAACCTCAATTAAAACCTCTACAAGATTCTACCATATTAACCTAACATAAATCAGCCATCTCAAAAGAAATTTAGATTTACCATTTGCATCATGAACCTAAGCTGTTTGTAGCAAATTTTAAAAAAAACACACATTTTACGCAATTATAATTATTAAGTTAAAAGTTTGGTGGCATTTGCTTGTTACTACAAAATCAGTACCTAGCATTTTCACATGACCAACATGTTTAAAACCCAAGGACTAAAATGTGAATTATCTTTCTTTTGAACAGTGTTCAACATATATTCTGCTCCACAGCCCAAACAATCTTTTCCAAACCTATTGGACTCATTAAGGCATAGCAGTAATCAAATATTTCAAGAAGATAATAAACAATAAGCAAAAGATGTACCTGAACTCCTGGATGAGTTTCATGCATAAACTCAAACAACTTATTCACAACTGTTTTAAGAAATTTCCAATGGGCTCGGAGAAACCTCGGATACTGTCCTACAACATACCTAAAATTTATACCACGCAATTAAATGGGTTAAAAGCCAAAATTAACGATGCAGCCAAAAGATAATAGAACAGAAGTGTTTGCTCACATGATATTGCTAGCGATCACAGCTTTGTTATCTTTTCCTTTCGTAATTTCACAAAGATTCAGCAAATCACGAATGACCATTACTAAAAATCTATTTTCCTGGAAACAACAAAACCATTAGAAATTTAATAATCATTAGTTATTTCATATGCCATAAACCATATAAAAGAATTATTGACAATAGAAAGCAAGTAAAAACAGACGAGAATTGCAAATCTAGACAAGGTGAAGCTTAACTATCCTATAAAGATCTGAAATAAACGTAAGAAAGCAAAAACAAAAATCTATGCCAACCATGTTAAATTTTGCAGAATACTTAATAAATTAAAGAGACAGATCTCACATAACACTGCAGCTAAGGATTCTGATCTTAAGAACCATGTGTCCACTGTCAAAAAGAAAATTTATCGACCCTAACATGTGTGGTTGATCATAAATATCTTGCACAAGACATAAGTTCATTGTCTGGTCTCGCCACATCTTCAGACAAATAATAATGTCATAACATTTACAATACCTGATGAAACCTAAAAATGGATCCAAACTTCAACCAAGAATTTAAGCCTTCCAACAAAACAGTGGACGTCATTGACCAACAAAAAACAGCTAATTACACAAAAATGACCAAGAGAATTAACTAAATTCCTCTAAGTCTATGTTTACGTTCACCAATAAGTATGAGCATCATCATCATTAGGAAAAGTACCTGCTCCTCCATCATTGAACCCGATATTGATCCAATAGCCCAGCACAATGTGTTTAAGTTGTTCCAAGACCACTCTTCCCCACTCAATTGCCTACTCAACTTCTTCAACATCTGCAAGTCAAAGAAATTATGCATGGATCAATTTGCTATTAGTAAAGATGGTTGGACAATTTCAAGCAATGAAGTTATACACGAATAAAGTATAATTAAAAGGAAAACATAAATATCCAATAACTTACATATTTTAACTGCAAAAATTGGATAGTTACACCCTTAGAATTTGAAAAGCAAGACCAATTGTAAACAAAAAATTATAGCACTTCTATAGATCACAACCAATTACGAACCGTAATGGCTTTGAGGACAAGATTCTTGCAGTCACAAAGCCAGATGACATGTGAAATAAGCTCTTAACGGAACTAGATATAGTAATAGTTAGCAAAACCTGTTCAACTAGCATAATTTTTTCTCTACAAGAATAGTAGTTTTAGTATCATTTAGTCAACTACAACTCAACAAAACCTATCAAAAACCAGATCCGAATGAGAAAATGATATACTTCAAGACCCACTGCAGCGGACTAGGAGTATCCACAGAGTTTTCTGTATAATATCCACAAACATAGACCAATTTCATAATTCATGTTTATTTCAGCAATCTACATGAATAGTACATGGTAAACGTTGCTGCACTGTAATCTTATCCACTTCTTCTGGAACCCTTCACTTACAAACCAAAAGTTGTAGATGTTTCAGAGCTCATTTTCCTCTTTAGAGATCATGTCATGTCCCAAAATCAAGTTCTGGCCAAAGCACAGATATTACCGTCAGTAAAAATAGTAAACTGTGATTAGTCACCAAGATTGACCGATAAATGTAGCCAACAATTTTGGATGGACTGGGCACTAGGACTTTTGTCCATATACTTTACATCTTTAGTAACGTTGTTTAACAAGTAATGTAAGATATGAAATAAGAACTGTGTTGACCATTACAGTTCACCAATCTAAATGTATGTATGACATAACTTGCTGATGCCCAGCTGTGAAGTAGACCTTAGGTAATTTTTTAACAGTAAATACAAATTTCTGTAACTCATGGTAGTAACAAGCACACATATGAAAGAGACAGGTTGCAAGTATAACACAAGCATTGCCAGAAAATAGTTCAAAACACTGCTTGTTCATAGTCAAAAATTAACAAGGATAAAGCAAGATCAGGATGTACCTGTTGTTCTGTGTCCTCATGATCAAGGTGTGACAAGTATATAAGTGTTTCCCTCATGATCTGCAATAGTGAATCAAATTAATTGTAAGCAAGTCGAAGTAAATTTAAAACAATGGCAATTAAGATACCAGAAAACCAATTAAGATGCCAGAAAAGACGGTTTTACAGTAAGTTTGTCCTCTACAGTAGCAGTGCATTTTGATATAAAAAGCCTAACCCATTTATTTAAACACCGAAGTTTCGGAGTCAAGCAGATGCATATGCCAAGTGAAGAAAATGAGAGATATTGTTATATTCTCCAGAAAAGGAATCCAGCACAAACCTTATATTGAACAAGCACATCATTGTCTTTCATAGTTTCACGAACAATATTTCCATTTTCATCCTCAACAATCAAAACCTCTTCTGGTTTAGCCATACGACAAATCATGAGCGTTCTTAACTTTGATAATGGACCTGAATAAAGCTGCCGCCTCTGCAGAAGCAGTGAACCAAGGCCATCAACCATCTCTGGTATCAGTGTAGCCTGAAGAAACCATAAGCTATGTCATGGCAAAAACAGTCTTAAAAAAGGCATCAAGCAACATGATGATGTACAAGAACAAATTGCCTATGCATGTAGATAAACAACAGGGGATATATGATCACACTGGATCTAGAATTATATATGCTTGAGTTGAAAACACAAGACATCAAGATAGAATAATAGCTTATCAATTTCAAAACGATACTACTGCAATTGAACTAGAATCACCATGTATCTATTTTGCTTATAAGTATCATGAGAGTAACAAAAACAATGCTGAAACCAGCTTTAAGGACATTAATAAAGTAAAACCTCAAACATATTTATGTAAAATATCCAGCATCCATTCATTTGACGATGAAGATTTGCAACAATGAGACACTTGATCAGGAAACATACTAAAGCAACAAAAAACTCAATATTTTTTCCTACAATAACATTATCGAAGAACCATCTTCCAGTACACAACAAAGAAAGGAATAGCTAATATCAAAAGTAGAAATATATAGGTAATGTTAAGTAGTTAACTGTAAAATATTTGCTCGGATTCAAGGGAGGGAAACCTAGATGCAAAAACAGGAGAGGATTTCTCAATCTTGAGCTATAAAGTAAAGAGGAGCACAACAAAAAACCCTCAATTTATATAATAACTGCATATGAATAAAGAGAAACAGTTTAACATCAATTGCCATGAAGATATACCTGAAGACCCATCAAGCCTGCAGCAACAGCAGGGTTGTCCAAGTTGTGATGCGCTTCAAACAGTTCTAGAACCAGTAAATTCCAATAATCCAAGCAAACCTGCCCATATGTTCAAGAAAATGTTGACCACAATAGGTGACAAGGCAATGCACATAATTTAATCATATACTACAAAAAAGTATCATCGTACCTTGAAAACCTCAGTGTCATCGACGTATGAGATACCAATAAGATACTCAAGGCCCATCAATAAGGCAGCTCTATTTTCAGGAGATTCCAGTACTCGTATGTGAGACTGCAAAAGGAAAGGGAGCCCCATTAATGCAACAGGTTTTTAAAAGCAAGTTGTTATTAATACTCGTAAGCTAACAGTGGAATGTTGTGATCAAAGTCTCTTGTTAAATCTATGGTACAGCAAGTGTGATTTCAGAGATGAAGACAGTAACAATAATTCATAATGAAGTTACACAAACATCAAGCTCTTTATGACCACAAAAACAATATTCTGGAAAACAAAGATATCCCAAATTCTAACTAAAATTTTTTTTCTCAATTCAAAACAATATCAATAGATGCACTCACTGATGATCAACAAAATAAGGGCCATAATATATCAACCAAGACTTTAACTAAACAAGAACAAAGCAATTATTAGCCTCTTGATTGCAATTCCTAAATAATATAAACTTCTACAAACATCATAATTCTACGAAAGAAAATATGTCTCGCATATACGCAACTAACAATTAGTTTCAAGAAGTTGAACAAGAGGAAGAAACAACTTGCCTTGTAAAACGAAGTAAAAAACAATGCAAGGTTCTGGATGAAAGCCTATAAAAGAAAAAAAAATGTTAGCATGGTTCATTTGCATATCATAAAGAAACAAATTAATTGCAGAGAGGAAGAGATCAACTCATTTAACAAAAAGGGAAATAAGTGTACCTGTTCTTCACTGGAACCATTTGTATAAGCTTCAGAGATATTTGTACCAGGTGGGATGACAGTCTACATATCATAATAAACAGTCTCAACATAATAGAAGTACAGAATAGACAACGCAAGACAGCAATGTCCATAAAAAGAAAGTTAAATAGATATACAATTTTAAAAATAAAACAGATCAACAAAATAAAAATACCTGCAATTGTATCATAAAGATTGTATACATCTTCACATACTGCATGTCATAGAAGTCACCAAACTGAAGCGCCGCAACCTGTAAATTAGTAGTAGATTAACTTGTTATAAAACTGCTGCAAGGACGAGATAAAGACAAGGCCTAGGATTCTATTGCAAATGCAATATCTTGCAGTGTTTTTATGCCACTTCAAATGAAAATATACAGCACAATCTTCGCATCAAAGGTAACATCAAGGAAACTATCAACCACAAGTTTAAAACAACATAACAGACATGTACCTCTGTCAAACACTGAAGTGTAAGGTTCCGGTATGATGCGATAGGAAAGAATTTCAAGAGTATCTCCAGCTGACAATTACCACAATATATAAGCTAAATTTCGCATTAATTACACCAAAATATATTTTTACCATCAACCAAATGGACTAAAGAAATCAATAAATGAAGCTTATGGTCATCAACAAACAAACCAGTGGAGATTCAAATATATAACCAAGAGGAATCCATGATAAAAAAGCATGAAGGGTTGCCAAGGTAGCCCGGATAAGCTCTGTTCGTTGTGATGCTGACAGTACGTATAAGCATAACTCGTGGATGAGTTGAAATTCACTGTTTTGAAGACAGAAAAAGTATAAATTACAATGTTACTATATGAGTGAATACAACAAATTGCAAAAATAAAGAACAGCATCAAACCTTGCGAAATTGGCTAAGACAATTATATTTGAAGAATATTAATCTTTCCTATTACAAGAACACTAGTTTTACAGGTCACGAGAAACAGTAATTTATAGAAAATATGGCAAGAATGGTAAAGGAATACCTTCTGTATGAACCCCAGTGTCACAACAGAAAGTAAAAGCCCCCCAAAAGAATCATGCAACAACCAAATACAAACTAATGCGACAAAGTTTCCTGCTAGATAGAAGAATAAAGAACACAACACAACTGTTTTCCAAATGTAACATATAAGAAACAAAAAATGCATTCAAATTTAATCGTGATATTGTCATTTAATCCTTGGAAACCTACAATTTCCAGCATCAAACATTGTTCCCATTCTGAATATTTTCAGGTCAAGGCAGCTCATGGAGAATTTTTCCAGTTGAAAAGGCTCAGTCTTATTGAAAATAAAAAACTCTTATTTACCATCAGTTATTCATCGATCGGGTAAATCACTCTGCACTTTACAATCTTGGAACTTGAGTTTAGAAAATACAGGTGTCAAAATCAGAACTGGCCTTCTACAGTTTCCAAATTTAACAGATCCTAGTTGCAACTAATAATCAATGACCCAACTAAAAAGATAGCATAAAACCTAGGTATTAACCAAGTGGCAGTGCCAGCAAAGAAATTCTTAAGCCAATGCCTCACAATGGAAAATAAGTAGCTGCAAAAATTCTCTTGCTGACTCTATTTAAAGAACCAAAGGCACTGTCAATGCAAACTCTTGACATTGGACCATAGTTTCTGGTATTGACTGATTCCAACATGATGTGCCCGGTCAGTACCAGCGTCATCCAAGCTGATCCAACTTCGTCGGATATCTTTTGTCACATGATTAGAACTCAGGGAAGAATGCTTGAATCAGTAAAAATCAAATATATTTTGCTGATTTAGGCAATTTTAGCCAATTTCATGGAATCAAAAGAAAGGTATAGACAAAGAGCAATGAACTGGTTAAAATTTCATGGAACTCAACTAGCTTGCTGATTTTGGACAATTTATAACCAAAAGAAAATCTGTGATTACGCCTTAGAAATAAAGATACTAGTTTGTAATACAAAAGAAGGTAAAGAGAGAAAAGGAGAGGGATTAAATCATGACCTTCTAGGAAAATAAAGATGTTAGCACAGAGAATAACGATATCTTGAGCTTTATCATTAAACACGGATTTTTTTTCTTTATTTATTTTTGTACTATTCTACAGTTAATGCATGACGTTTAGAGAAGCATCAGGGTCACCATGGAATTTATCATCATCGTCCAAGCTAGATGTAGATAAGTTATTACATAATATTATCATTGTTATTATAGAAAATATTTAGTAACTCTAAAGATAAAAGAATCCTTTCAAACAATATCATTATATTCCCACTTCTATTTTATGTTTGTCTTGTGTATACACAAATTTCATAAATTGTCTGTTTTAAATTAATTTGTAATAGATTCTGATCCTATCCCGAGTCTTACAATATTTTGGTCATTAAAATAATCACAACACATCAAAGTTTCAATAACTCAATTTAATCAAGCAATGAAAATATTCAGAAAGCAGATAAAAGGAGTCATGACTGTAACCTATATTACTGGAATAAGATAACACCAAAATCCATTAATCATACAAAAACATTAAGTAAGAGGACACAATTCTTTTAGTAGAGCTGACCAACGAGTACAAAAACCACATAAACACTATGATAAGGCACATAGATCAGATCAAACATACCTATTCAAAGACTGCTTAAGTTCCTTTATCTTTTGCTGAGTCATCTCTCCTCTTGAGAAATCAAAAACTTCTTCACTTAAAAGCTGCACAATTGACAACTATTTTAGTCTATATTCTTAATATTGAAACCAATACTGAAAAGGAGACATACCTTTAGTATAGCCATGCAATTTTCACAGATTGTTTCACTACTCTTTGCAGCTGAAACAAGATCAGGAATGAAGCTCTGCCATCTGGTTGGCCACTCATGCTTTAAGACCTACTCTTTAGGAAATGCAGACAATCAAAAAAGAGAAAACAAAACCTACTTTTCTCAATCCATGGTCCTAATGCATTGTGCCAAAGAAGATCGAAATCAGGTAATATAAACAGAAAGGCTAACGGTTACTGGTTTCAACCAAAAGATTGTGCAAATACAAATATGAAAAATCAGGGGCATTACCTGCACCAATATGACATTAAGCTTATTGACATACAGCCGCTCCTTCCGAAAGGAAACTTCACTACTAGAAAGCTGATTGAATGGGCAAAGATGTCCAAAAACCAGATGAACCAGTTATAACATAAATCATAAAGAAAAATGACTATGCATACATGCCAGCAAACAGAACCACAGTTACCTGTACAATCACATCAGATATATAATTCTTTATTCCATCACGCTGCTCGACTGGCAAGGCATTCCATTTGTACTTAATGACACTTTCTAGTACCTAAAAGGTTTTTTTAATTAAAAAATGACTATTTGTAATGCTCCAAATTACAAGAGTTTTACTAGTGATATTAGATGACAGAGACATAGGAAATACAAACAAATTACAAGAGTAAAAAATTAGAATTACATCTACCAATGGTTAGAAATTTTTTTAGTCCAGTCAGGATAATCTGAACCCAAGTTTGTTTCAGAACACATCAAAATGTACACTTCCCAGACAATTAATGTGAAAAAATAAATACAAACGCTAATGAGAGCAAGAATCTACTAAAAGTTATAGTCGGAAATTTTTTCCCGTTAATATGCAGCAGATGATATTGTCCATGTACACATCTGTCAGCACCATCTCATATTGGAACCTAAAGAATGTGGTGAGACTATCAGGTTGACTTTCGATCCATTTGGGACATCTGCAACAGACCCAATTGTGGGCTTCATTTTGTGTGCTTCAAGCAGAACATCCATAAAAATGTTTTGCCATTTGTGGGTCATTTTACAGATCTCAAACATCCAAACTGTTGCTGCTTCAAGGTAAAATTCAATTGAGTACACACTAGATCAATGTCCCTATTAGAAAAATTACTACAAATGTCATCACCATTTCTTATCCTTGCATTCTTTTCAATGGATATAATTAGCTATATCTATATCTCATTCTTAGGAGACCAGCACAATAATATAGTGTCCTATCATGTAGCAACTTATTGACATTTATGGAGAACTGCAAATGCCATCATCTTAGGATTGACAGGCATTGCCTTTTAAATAGCTGGATAAGATAGTCAACTAATGTGCACTTTGCATACCAGAGTGACTCTCTGACCCATGACGTTCAGATTTATATCATTATATTGAAAAGATAATACTATCAAAGAGGCACATAACTGTTTCCAGCTAACCTGAAGTGCAAAAAACTTAGTGTTCAAGCTTTGTGAATTCTGCAGAATGTGAACCACTTGCAGCCAGGTGTCAGGGTTGTTCTGCAATTCCCGTAGAATCTGATCTGCAGCTGACCGCTGTCACCAATTGGAAGCCAGAAGTCAGCTGAGCTTGCACATAAAAGAAACAAATAACAGAAGGTAATTACACAGGTTAAAATTCAAAAAGCCACACCTAGCCCTTAGGGCCATGTTTAACCAACCAAGAAGAGTTACAATTTATAACACTCCACAAATGCTCGCTGCAATACTCAAACAGTATGACAGCGACACTGCAGCATATACACACATTTTTCCCACCTAAAACAATCAAATAACTAGGATTGGATGGCCACGCAATCAGTGAACTATTGCAAGAAGCCAATCAAACAAAAGAAAAGAAAGGAGTGACATTTTCTACCTGAATCAGACCCTGTCAGGTTACGACATTTAACCAGAAAACAATCAAATAACTAGGATTGGAAGACCACACAATCAATGCACTATCGCAAGAAACCATTCAAACAAAAGCAAAGAAAGGAGTGACATTTTCTATCTGAATCAGACCATGTCAGGTTACGATATTTAACCAGAAAACAAAGTAGCTACTTTTCATCGATAAGCCGACGATCAAACCCCACAACCATCCAAAACCCTAGAAAAACCCAAAGGCCACCAAACACCCACCCAACAGCAGCAAACCCTCACCCAAACCCCTAAATAAACACGCGAAGACCAAAAGCGAAAGTAACAGAACCAAAGAGAACGCCGCGGACGAGGAGAGAAACCGACCTCCTCCTTAGATCCCGTCCCATAGAACGCGGCCACGGTCGCATCAAGGAGGGGAACATCAATCGGCTTGCTCAAATCCCTCAACCTCTCCGCCATTGGACCACACCCCAAGATCCAGCGGCCAAATCCTAGAAAAAGCACCGACGAAGAGCCCTGGAACTGTGGAAGAATCTAGAAACAAGGGGCGAAGAGGAGAGGGCAAAGCGGGAAGTCTCCCAAACCCTAGCTCTTCTATCCTCGTGAGCTTCGCTAGGGGATTCGATTCCGAGAGAGAAAGCTAGCTTCCCCTCCTCTTCGTCGTCGTCTTCTCCTTTTGTCGCTCCTTCTTTCTTGCTTTCTCTCTTTATTCGCTCGCTTTCGCTCCTGTTCGGTGGTCGCCAAGCGATCAAGGGACGCAAAGAAATATAGATTAGGGGAAGCGGCCATGGGGGTTCCGCGGGATGAAAACGGGACCGGCGTTGCCAGCGAATAACGACACTGCCACTGGGGTTTGGGGGGAAATACGAAAACGCTGTTGCCGGCGGAATCGTCCTTTTCCAAGGGAAACGGGGGCGTTTCGGTCATTTCGGGATCCGATGGGATTCACGTTTTCGTGAATTGAAGGCACGAAACGGTGTGTCCGAATCATGATTCGGCTCGCCGCGGGCGTGGCTTTGGGTCCGGTTCAATGGGATCCTTGCACGGTTTTTGAAGTATGACATGTCAATTAATTAAAAAGATGGTTTTACTTGTCTACCCCTCCCAACGTTCCGAAATAGCATATTTGCAATTTTAAGGTTACATATATGAGCAAGAACTCTTTTCACATGTCTATCCAATAAACTGAAGTTAGATTGCCGTTTAATTAAAAGTTGTAAATGTCTAAAAAGCTCTTATTATTTTCATCTTCCATAATATTTTTTATCAAGCAATTATGTAAGATTTGATCGACGAAGATTAAAGCAATTATCTTGATTTAATTGTCAAGTTTTTTCAATGTCGCATTATCACAAAAAAAATTTTTGATTTTTTTAATTCATTTAACGTTCAGACCTACATCAAATTGTAATCTCCAAACATCTTATATCTAACTCATCCCTCAATATCTTAAATAAATATCATGAATTTAAGGACTAATTATAAAATACTCTTGTAATTAATTACTCCTATACTTTCAAAAGTGACGAATCCTTATAAAATAAAACAATTAACTCCATTATATTTATAAAATTAAAATATTTAATCATATTTCTTCTTCTCACGGTCGACTCTACTAAAGAAAATATCACACATCATCATAAGATTTACCATTGAACATATGTTAACTTTGACTCACTTGAATTTATCATATGAGATATTCCCATCAACAAACATCGACGACATGAGGAAAAATAAAATTAACTATTTGACTTTGGTAAGTATAAAAATCCTATAACTTTTAAAAATATAAGAATCCAAATACTAAAAATAATTAATTACAAAAAATAATTTACAATTAACCCTGAATTTGAACTAAATTTGATAAGTGTCTATATCATGTAGATACATTACAAATTTGGTGGAGAAATTTTGATCACATAAATCACATGGGAACTTTACCATGAACCCAAGTTGCATCTTCTATTTTCCATTTGCTATAGGAACTGTTGGGGAGGAGGAAAGATGTTGCTCCTGCAAGCACCAAACTATAACAAGAAAATGAGCCCAACAAAAATGAAGCTTCCGATAATCCACACATTCATTGGACTCCTTTTTAAGCTAAAAGAGGTTCAAGCACATTTTTATATGAATCTGCAAAGATTCAACTACCCACAAGCCACATTGGTAAAATTAACAGAAGTCAATAGCACAATCAGGAACGAATAACCCAGATTAATAACCTAGATCTGAAGAAAAGATAGAAATAAAAAAATCACGTTTGCACTGGTATGAAAAAAGCTAATAGAACAGGCAAGACAACAGTGTTCAGGTCTTGCATGCTTCATCCACAAAACACTGTTCCCTTAAAATAAAAGTTATATAAAGGTTAGATCCAAAAATTGTCTATTTTTAATGAGCTATGGACTTCATAACCTCTGACCAAAAAAAGAAAAGAAAAAGACAAAAGAAAGTACCAAAGAAGCAGGAAATGAAGTTTTTTTCCTGACTGAATTTCCAGCCAAAAATGTCAACCTAATCTGCCACATGTCCAAATTCCTCATACAGGGAGACTAGAAATCCACCTAAGTTGTGCGTCACCATTTCTTAATAAACTTAAATCACCAAAGAGCAATGGATTTGCTTGTTCTTGCCAAAGAGCCAGATAATGCACATCAAACCTGTTTGTCAACAGAAAAGCTGATGAGTATATGATGGAGAACAATACAACTCACACCTACGTATGCTTACCACACTCAAAACAAGTCAAATACAAAGTCCTCATGACTGAACAGCCAGCCTCTGAAGATGCTCACAGAATATTTGAAGGCTAACATCATTAGTGAAGATGACATCAGACCCTGGTGCAACCTCATGGGCAGAGTTATATGTAGCTGATGGATTCAACTTCGCTAACAGAAATCTTGCCTACAAATTAAACAAACCACCAGATTGTCAGCAGCCAGGCTGTGGTAATACTTTTGAGCACAGTGAACGAACAATATGAACTTCATATGTTACTTGATCTACCATATCCAGGGTGTTCCAACATTTTGCCAACAATATCAGTATATTTAACATGTAGAAGAGTTGTAGCATTTGCTATTAAAGAAATGCTTATCAAATTGTTTATGTTGTGGTCAGAGACTGACATCAACATAATTAGTAACCAAGTCGCAAGCAATAATAATGTCCTGGAATAGCATTCGTCAAGAACAAAAGAAAATGGCATATCAGATAAATAATTATGATAGCACAATATAAAGCAAACTGAAAATATACCTGTGAGCCATGGTGATCACAAATAACTAATCTGGGGACAGGGAAACGATTTTTGATGATAATCTGGGCATCATCTTGGGGAGCTTGTAACAGCTGAGCAAAGACCTGTTGATGACAAGAAAAAAAAGAAATTCATTGGTGTGTTATTCATGGCAAAAAAGGTTCACCAACATTTAAATATCTTTCTTAAGCCTAACAAACCTATATGAGGTAAATAAATAAATTCATACACATGTTCTATTTGCCTTTTTCTTGACATTAATAGCTCTTTTATATTATACCTGTCCACTACATGCTATATTTATGCCTTTACTAAACATGCAGTAATCCACGATTTGTCTAAATGGCACGAGGCAATTGCAGAAGAACCGACTTGAGTTAGTGGAAATGCCATCCTAAGCCAAAGTTGTGTTAGGCCAAGATTTCAAAAAAACACCACAACCGGTATGAACCAGGCACTAAATACCAGTACAACAGACGACCGGATCACAGACTCCCCATTTCTGCCAGATCGGGTCCAGTTCAGGGTAATTATATAATAACCGCTAACAACCCACCCCACCCCCCCCCCCCTCGCTCTTCTTCCTCCTCTTCTTCTCCATATACTCCTCCCCCTTCTCGGCACCACCACCACAATTTACCACCATATAGTATGAACCACACCTGTACTGGTCTTTCCAGGGACCAGTACAGGGCTAGTGCCCAGGACCTCGAACCATGTTCACAACCCTGATGTAACCACCACTTGGCCAAAAAAATAACACAGAGATGAGATACAGTACACAGAATTATTAAATTATGATGACTATCAAATTGATTATCACCTACTAAAAACCCTTTGCAATGTGGTCAACAACGCTTGTGATCTTAAATATGTTGGAGTACATTTCCATCCTCTCTAAATATAAGCCTGCATACATTGATCCTCTCCAACCCCATGATGGCAGGAGCCAGCCTCTACCCTGAGTACGCCTATTTTTACATTTCTAACATAACAAAGAACCATACGTAGAGCAGAACAATAGGGCAATTTTAAATCATAGAATAAGTTACAGCTTTATATCCCATAAAATTGACCCTCCAAGCATATTGAATCATTATAAGTTAGATTTAGATTATTAAATAATGAAAAAGAATAAAGTGGTCCCTGATATTTTAAAGTGGAAATAAAAATATAATTTGGGTAGGCAATAGGGTCACAAGTAGTTTAATATATAGGAACATAACTAAGAAGCCTAGTAAATTGTCAACAATAGCAGTAAAAGATATATTCACCCGGACCTGTACATACCAGCCAGTATTTACTGGTCCAAGCATGAATCTACAGGCTAACCACCAAATTTTAGACAGTCCACATGTGGCACATCGCTTTCTTTATTTTTCTTTTTTTATTCTACATACAATATTTAGTTTAGGTTTCAGTTAGTTGATATAGAAGATCTTTTTCTCAATATTTCTTTATTTTCTTCAACTATCATTTTAAAGCCAATTTCCACTTCAAGCTACAGGTTGTAAATACATGAAGAAATATCAAATACAAGAATTTGTAATTAAACTGATTGCAATCATTACTGATTATATGACTGGACTAAAAAATACATCAAGTTACCTGATGCTCAGGCTGATTCTGGTAACCCATGTTGCGCCATTGAGCAATGGTCATCCCATGAAAGATAACAACACTGAAGTATGCATCTAGCAACAATATACGATCGGCAGATATAGAAGCGACATCCAATAATGCAGGAGAAGGAGGTGAATTAAAAGAATATGAAAGAAGTGAAGGCTGTATCATGACAACAGAATTGCTGATGCTTTCACGATTCAACAACATGCGGAAATAAGCAGTTTCATCAGGGCTATTGTTAATAACCTGAAGAAACAATGTTGAGAAGAAATTTAGAACTTGAATAAAATTTTGCAAAACTGAAAAGTGTCAATTTCAAAATTCACCAATTTTGAAATTCTTGGAAATAATCCTAAGAACGTGCCTGTACAAATTGTGAGCGCCTCAGATTGAACATGAACTGTGGGAGGATTGAGAAATTTGGATTCAGCGTAAACGAAGCAGGGTCATCTTTTCGATAATCACCAAATCTTGAACAAAAGCGGATAAGGGATCTATCCAACCATCGTGTTGCATCAAATTCTTGCTAAAAAGCAAAGATATATCATATTCGTGCTATGATAACCAAGAAAACGTACATAGCAACTAATACTATACCAAGCAATAAAAATCAGGGTTCTTGTCACAAAAATAAAACATCCAGTTGCAAATATGCAAGCCTGTAGCTTACCTCCATCTCCATTTTCAAGGACACATATCTTGCAAAAACAACAGCTGCAGTTTCCTGATCAAATCCTTCAACCAATTCCTATAATTGTACAATGTCCAAAATCCAATCAAGTGGCCATTATTGTTCTAATAATATGCAATAGTCATTATTGTTCTAGTAATATTCAATCAAAAACTGGAGATCCAATAAACTATCTTATGACAGTAGCATGTTAAAGGAACATAACAACAATTGGATTATAAACTAACATTAACCAAGAGCAACATGTTTTATGTTCTCTCATGGGGTTTTAGAAAACTTGCAACCATGCACATTTACATCGAAGTAATTGGCAAGTGCCAAATAGTTGGGACTAAAGGCTTGCTTCCATTTCTCCTGTTATAGAATCCTGATCCAAATTTGACCAACTTACCAACACTTGATGATTAAGGACAGCTAAAGAAACCAAATAAAATTGATTTTAGAAAAAAACATATGAACTAAATCCTCATAGCCAAAACGGCCAAAAAGATCAGATTTGCAAAAAAAAAATATTTGTTCAAAAAATGGTAAAGAAAACTGAATAAGAAAGTTCAAGAGACAAACCATGATGTCTTGTCCTAGAAGGCAGTATGTATTTACCTTGTCTATCTGATCTTATATTATGCCATGTAAGAGAAGGTTTCCACAACTAGCCGGGATTCACTGGGCTCAGCCCAGCATCATTAGATATATCAAGTTTTAGTCAAATCAAACACCTATGTGCTAGTGACCATATATGGTGTGCTAGTGGGCGCCTGCATTCCCAGTGCTCCTCTTGTATACCATATTGGCAACATGGCCAATATAAGTGGCGTTTGATACACCAAGTTTTGACAATTTTCATTAAACAGGAGTCGCCTCCACATTTGAACCACAAGGCTTTATTTATCTACATCACCTACATATTTATTTACATCACCTACATATTAAACAGAAACCAAATCAAACAGATCATGGTGATAAGTAAAGCAGAAGGAAATACTTAAGTCAAACATCAATTGCTCGCTAACCAGGTATGATATATATGCACAAGTCAAAAACTTCGATTACTCACAAATTAAGTCCTCGCATGACTTTTGAACACAACTCTCAACAATAAGGATTTTCTTATGTGTACTTAAGTAAAACATGGAACAAAATTGTTTCTAACCAACCTCTGTGCAAGAACCATCCACCCATCTTCTAGTGACAGTCGTAACCCGTAACCTCATTTGACCTTCAGGGCCCTGATAACTACATGCCAATGACATTATCTGATTAAAAAGTTTTACTTTCAAGTTACAAACAAAACAAAATGGACGAGGGGTTATACTTGGTCAAAAACTGTATATATAATTGTGGATTTGGAATTCCAGATTGGTTTGGCCGTTCACTTGGTGAAATTTCAAAGAATACCGTCAAACAAGTAGTCCTATCAAGACCACACATTTTCCATGAAGTTGTATTTCCTTGGCCTACAATAGTATCGGCACAAAGAGCTCCCTTCTGCAAATGTTACTGAATTAGCAATATGCTTTAGAGATATCAAAGTTCCAAAATTTTCAAAATAAAAAACCATATCAGTATGCATCTTATGTCCTCATTAACACCAAGATCCAAGATAACCTTCTCTAAAGATGTACATGGTCCAATAACTCCCTGAATCTTGATGTCCTTTGAACAGTTGATCTCAAGTGTGCCACTGGACAAATTAAGTAACTATAAGAACTAATGTCTTCAGAAGATACGGCACTAACAAAATATAAAAATAATTAAAACAGGCGATAGAGGCAAAGTTATAAATAATACTGAGAATCAACTGCAATTTTCAAATCCAGTTTTGTTGGATACCTAAAGTTACAAAAATAAAAGTGGAAAAAAATTGCTTTTCACTTAAGCAGTCCAATGGTCCATCGATTTAAGTGTCCATGTGGTCTTAGGTTCCATTGATCTTAGAAATACTGGAGTAAGATTTGAACTGGATGAAGAAGCTTGTGAGGTTAAAAACCAAACTAATTACCTACTACTGGTGTTGATCCTCATCCATAAATATTAGACATAAGGTCATATACAAATTTAATGAAGACTGAATCATGTTGCAATTTTCACTTACTTCAACAGCTATCAACAAGTATGCAAGTCCATTCCTGTTGATAGAAACATTGCCAAAGTTTCCAAGTTGAGTCAAAACCAGAACAAAGTCAATTATGATACCTGACTGATTTTTTTTGTTTAGTTTTGGTTAAAGCTGATAGACATACGATACTTCAAAACTGCCAAATCAGAACTAATTTAGATTCTCAAAAACTATTTGTAATTTGAGCTTGTTGTAGCTTCCACGACGTTCTGGCCTTGATTTAGATGTCAACTGGTTCATACTGGAGACAATTGAGATCACTTCCTGTATATAGCTATTTCAAATTTTCGTTTTTAATGTAATATCACTGTACGTATAGGAGTGAAAAAAAATTACTTAAAAGAAAGACCAAGAGACTGCTCGCCATCTTCAAAAATTCGTTTGAAGGAGTCTTTGAAAACTGGGTGTCCAAAACTTTCAGCAAGAACTACAAGTCCGCCCGTTCTCTCCACTGCTACTTTCATCTCTGCAAGCCCAACCTGGATATATACACACAAAAAAGAATTTTTTATGAGTTAATAAAATTAGCACATAAGAAAATCTTTAACCGTAGGATTATGACAAAATCTCCTCAAATCAAAACACACGTATACACACAAGAGAAGAGAGTGACAAAAATGGCAGCATTTTGTTACTGACAAGTCAACTTTCTGCAGGAAATTTTGCAAAATACATTTGTGGAATAATTTTCAGCCAAATGCTCACAGGCTATTTTATAGGAAAAAGAGGTCCTGTTGAAATTTAGACTTACTAGACCAGCCTAGTTCCACATTAGTTATCAAAAATATTGGGAAACACTCAGGTAATTTTCAACACTTTCTTGTCACAAATTTGTTACTAAATAAATGTTTAATGGGATAATTTAAATAAGCTCATTATTGCATTCACTTATCATGCATCAGAGCACGTGTGTCAAACTAATCAGTAGTCATCTTTAGATGATAAAGTCATTACCATGAAAGCCACATGTCTATAATCAGTCATGGAGGAAGATGACAGGTCTTTAGAATGGATATCACCAAGCTGAAGCGGGCAAAAAGCAGGTTTATCTCATTGTGTTTGCATGCATGGTACATAGTTAACGGTGTCCAGTGCCAAGAATTATGATCTTAACAATTCATTATCAAGCTTATATTATCGATGTCAATTAGACAAATTCCATGTACACATTACAATACAACTAACACAAAAATGTTACATCAGAAAAGTAATAGAATTATAATAAATGATGTCCAATATTCTTCGCATAAGGATCCCATATCCATTCATACTCATACCGGTCAACTGTTTAACAGACTTACACATGGCACTGCAATGACAGTAGTCTAGTTGTGCCATGTATCCATAATAATCTTTAAAGCATAATAAGGTCTCCTACATTATTACAAAACAAGTTGCTAATACAAAAATAATTGACTCAAACCTGATCAACTGCAGAAGCAAATAGGTCCAACACATGGCCCTGGTTAACTAGCTGCTTGGCCAAATTATCATAAAATTTAACAGCTTTGTGAAAATGCGTGCCTGCATCTTTATCAAGATCTTTATGAGAGCGCACTGACTCTGAGAAATCTTTTGAGACAATCTGCAAAACACAATTTGAGTGAATAAACAGAATGTTTGAAGGAAATTAGCTTGAGGATGTAAATGATGTAAGAATTCTGAAAATCCAGAAAACAATTAACATTAATATCTTTAAAACATATGAGAGACCTCAGAATACATTCTTTCAGAAAGTTATGCAAGGAAAAATTAGTGTAGTACATTACATTCTTTCAGAAAAATAATTGTTATGCACAAAAAAGAAACTAGGATAAGGTAATCTAACACAAGGTACTAAAGAAACCAATCTCAATGACTCAATCTACAAGAAGCATGATGCTAAGTAAATTTACATTGAAAAGGCACACTAACCTTGAATAACACAGATGCATACAGAATAAAATAGGAAAAAATTAATTCGGCCAATACAAGAACCATAAATTAGTTGCCAGAAGTGAAAGCGGGGGTAGGTGCATGTACAAAGTCAAGTAAACAGCAAAATTCACTAGGAGAATCGACCTATTCCTTCTCAATCTCTCCCGTAGACCCTATCCCTCCCTCCTGACAGTAACAGCAACTCAACTACTGATGGCTGCCAGTGGCAGGTTCCTCTCCTCTTCCTCTTCTTCAGAAATCCCTTTTCTTTTCCAAATTGGGATACCAGGAATCCTGACACTGGACATCAGGGGTTGCGATTCATAGACATGTATGCTTCTGAATTACAGGAATGCAATTTTGAAGCATGTACTCAGCCGTAGAAAGGCGCTTCTGGCTGATGGTCCTGGAATGGATCATAATTTATACAAGGCTAAATGAGAGCACATAACAAGATAATTGGAATGTAGGCCAAAACTTTGTAGCACTCCTAAGCCTCATAAGGATGCTTTTCTGTGAAGATGAAGGCACTAATCTTGAATAGGAATTAGCTATAAACTAGTCTAAGCTTCAACGTAAACTTACCAACTAATGATAAACAAAGGCATGCTTAAAGAATTTTCACTGAACAAACACAACTTATGCTTCTAACATAACAAACCACAGAATTTACAGTAACCATCAAGTCTCAAGATATGGCAAGGTGATTATTTTAAACCGATGTAGAATTTACAAGAATAAGTGGATTATTCTGGAGAGAGTCATTCGGAATAATATCAATTAAATGAATTTCACATCTTACAACAAATTGCTTCAAGCTAATAATAGTAGCCAACATAGGCACTTCTCACTTTCAAAATGCTAAAAAGTTGCAGAGTTCTCTCACATGGCATCTAATTAATCATTGGAAAAGACGAGCCCCAGCTTGTACAACAAAAGTGGTATAGTTATGATATAACCCTTTTAATTATTATCATCTAAAACAACAAATATAAGGATCTTCAACTAATATGGATCACTTACTTTTAAAAGGTTTGAAGTCCAGCAATCCAATCAATAAATCCCAGAATAAAGTATGAAGATTATGCGTGAAAAAAAGCAAGCATCTTTACCATGCCAGGGCCCTGAGTACATGGCCCACCAACCAAAGCTATGATGCGAGCCCCAGTACCAGGCATACAAGCTCCCAGCAAGCCAGAAGCAACATTTAGGGCAACCCCTGTGCAACGTAAAGCACGATTCCCTGCTTCAACTGGCCACTGATCTGTCTGCAGCTCATCCAACAACTGCGACAGAACACAACTAAAATGTTTACCTCTAAAACAAAAAGAAAAAGACAAATCAATCAACCAATTTGGGAGCAAAGATTGAATCTCACCGAACTGAGAGCGTACTCACAATCTGCTGCCGGGAGCAGGAACCTATTGACCGATCCAGATGGATGAAACCCATTGGCTTGCGGCACCTTGGGATATCCCGGCGCTCCAACAGCGGCACCATGGCGGACGCTGGATGCAGAGAGCCCAAGATGATCCAATATCTGGTCTTTGGATATTTCCTTGGTCCCTCTGAACACGAAGATCTTGGACACATCTGCGAACCCTAGTTCGTAGAGGTGGACCTGGGTACCGAAGGTGACAAGCCCAACGAGGGCGTGATCAGGAAGCAGACCAATGGCCCGGCGCATGGCCGACTTCACGAATCCCAGCTCCTCCTCGATGAGGCAGGTGTCAATGACAAAGAGGAACACGGGGGGTGGCGGCTGGGGTGAGGAGGGGGCGGAATAGTGGTCGAGGGGCGGTGGGGCGTACTCGACGGTGGTGCACTGGGGGTACAGCTCGCCGGGGACAACGGCCTCGCTGATGGCGGCGTAGTGAGGGGGGAAGTGGTTGCGGGAGAAGCAGAAGGGGCAGATCCAAATCTTGGCGGCGAAGTCGACACGAGCGAAGGGGTTGAGAACCGCGGAACACGGCGGCTTGCAACGGAGGGGGTTGTAGGGGAGGACGAGGAGAGACGGGGAGGCGCGGATCGGGGCGATGGAAGCGGCTACAGGGACGACGCACTTGCTCGCCTCCAACTTGGAGCGGGGCCAATTGTTCCAGGTCATGCGGACGCCGTCGGGTCCGTCGGGGTCCGGGGCGGCCGCGGCTCCCGCGCCAGCGAGGTCCTCCGCCATGTAGATGTAGTGGCGGCGGCAGCGAGGCGGCGGCGGCGGAGGTTTCTCGCCGGCGATCGGGAATTCGGATGGCTTGGAGATTTGGGGGATGGAGGGAGTATTTATTTATATTTTACGTTATTCATTTCCTCCTTAATTAATTCCATAAACGGTTCGGGTTTCATCACCCGGATCCGAACTACATCTGGTGGCTAACGGACGTAACTTTACACAGATTTGGGCTTCAATTGGGTGGGCGGTTGCCCGAACCCGACTCCACCAATCCTATGAATGCACTGATTAGGTAATTAAGATATCTGAATAAATCTTCATTTAATGTTTATGAGAGATTTGAGTGAAATATGACGTTGTTGGGTTATTGAATGTGACCAAATGAATTTTTTTTTCTTTTTCTAAAAAAAATATATTAATTATTCATAGGGTAAGTCCCTCTTAAAAAATATTGATTGACTTTAACAAAATTAGTCACAATATTTATAATATATTTAATTACGTTAATGATTTGTGAAGAGGACTTGAATATAAAACTTATGACTATTTTACTAAAAAAAAAAAATATTTTTTAAAATATATTTGATAAGACCTTAGGGTTTTATCGTAGAAGACGAGAAAAAAATGGATAATCATTTTAAGGAGATCGGCCTCTTGATCACTTCGAGGGGATCGATCTCCTAGGATTTACAAATAATATTTCATATATAATAAAATAAAACATGTAAATCCATATTTATAGAGTTCTCGATTGGAACTTATACTCTAAAGAAATAAATCTCAAACAAACATTTATCCGACTCTAAACTATTGAAAGCTCAGAAAATAAACTCAGCCTTATCCCCCTTCAAATCAGTCTGATCCTCAAGGTTGAGCAACATTCAACTCTTAAAAGCTTATCTTTTAGCACTCTAGTCACAAGATATCTATAGTACATCACAACCCGCTGATCAAGTAAGTAGGGTCTCCACTTCTTGATAGTGTAAGCAATAGGTCGACCTTCTCGTGTCATAGTCATTACTCATCATTTTCATGCATGATGTTAAAACTTTGATTATGATATCATTTATCATTTCATGATATCAAACATTCATTATTTCTCATGCTTAAATCAATATTTTGATATCAATCGTCATTTCTCCCCCCTTTGTCATCAACAAAAAGAAGAATCATTCAATAACTCAAGTGTTTAAAAGCATGTCAAGTAAGTTTTACAAGAAATGAGAAGTTAAGTAAAAACTTTGCATGAAAAATGAGAAGCTAACATTTTTGTCTATGAGCTTTTTGGTTCTTCGTAAGATGTGCAAGTTTCTTTATTCCTTTGTCATAAAAAGATAAAAAGAAGAGGAAGAAGAGTAAGGGAGGAATTCATCATCTACAAGAAAATCAAAAACCAATTTCATGAAAGGATTTGAACTAAGTCAAATCCATAATAAAATGAGTTTTATTGAATCAAGCTTATATTTTAGCAAAGAGAAAGGAGGATCAAGATTTTCATATAAAATCAAATCCCTATTCTTGCAAATGATCATCACATATTAAAAGTCAATGAATAAAAATTCTTCTTTCGTGAGAAGAGTGAAGATGAATTCATGGGAAAGGATCATCAAATGAAGGATAAAAAATCCATGAATCAAACTTCATAAATTAAATCCCTTTTCTTATAAATAGAAGGAAGAATGATTCATAGGAATTGTTAAAAAGATCAAGTCATCAATCACAAAAATCTATGAATCAAGTCTCAAAAGAAAATTCAAGTTATGAAGAACTTAGAAATCCAAAAAAGGAATTTATGTATTTGGAAGATTTAGCATGCCTAATTCTCATCTAATGAAATTAAACTGTTCCTCATTCAATGGTTTTGACAAAATATCTGTTAATTGATACTTTATATCAATAAATTCTAAAGATACGTCATGATTATTAATATGATCTCTAATAAAATGATGTATAATATCAATATGTTTAGTTCTAGAGTGTTGAATGAGATTTTATGTTAAACATATTGCACTAATGTTATCATATTTTATGGGTATGTTTTTCAAGTGAATTCCATAATCTTCTAAAGTGTTCTTTATCCTAATAACTTGTGCACAACATGCACCTACTGCTCTATATTCTGCTTCAGTTATAGATAATGCAATCAAGTTTTGTTTCTTGGAGGATCAAGAGACAAGTGTGTGACATAAGAATTGACATATTCCGGATGTGCTTTTTCAATCTATTTGACAATCAACAAAATCAGCATCGGTATAAGCAAGTAACTCAAAGTTTTTGGAATTAGGACACCATAGACCTAGAGATTACTTAGGATTAGATTGAAATCTCTCCATCCGATGGCTAGTGGTAGTTGTGATCTTACTTCCACGTCTTCCCTTTATGATCATTTGCTTTCTATTAATAAGAAACTTCATGATTAGTTTAAAAAAAATCCAAAAAACATCACCCATGGTTGATTGTTATTCAATTCCAAGCATCACTTCGAAGTCTTCTAAGGGTAGCAAAAGAAAATCCACAAGCAACTCTTAGACCATGTATAATCAATTTTATCTTCAAACACTTGCTATCATAAGTTAAAATACACCCATCAGCGACCTTTACTTTGAATTTGTCATAGCATTCAATGTGGTAGGTCAATCGGTCATCAATCTTACTATCCATAAAATTATTAGTGCTACTAGTATCAATCAAAACTGTAACGGACTAATGTTCCAAAGTTCCTCCAACTTTCATAGTTTGATGAATTAGTCGATTCATCAAAATCAATGCTTTTATAATCGGAGTCCATTTGTTAGCTTTCGATTCCTCCCTATTTGGTTCAATTATTAGAAGTTGCCATTGTTTACATCGATGCTCCTTACTCCACTTTTCATCACAATACCAACACAAACCCTTCGTTGATCTTTCATTGAGTTCTTCTCGGATTTATAGGGAAATCTAGGGGCGACATCACATGAGCAGCGAAAGAATAAAAACAAAAACCTTAAATTTTCCAAAAATGTGTTTATCATCATATGAAGATTAGTGCGTAAAAATCCGTGAAACTTAAAACCAATAGTGTTTTAGCTATGGAGATCGTATATCTCTAAAATCCTATAGATATGTGGGAGAGGATGAAGGAGGTCAAGCATCATCCTCTCTAGCGGTGATCCATATAGCAGGGTTGCAATGATGCCCTTCAAATCTGCACGCCTACTATTTGAAGAGGAGAATGTGAGAGGAGAATAGAATGTGGCAATCAGGAAGTCCCAGCTATGAGTATTTAATTCCTTCCTATTTATAGAGGCTCTGAGTTAACTTAATCCTAATGGATCCTGTCCCATTAGGAACTGGATCTCCATCCAATTACCCAAGCCTCTTAGACTAGTGGGTCTCTACCCAATAATCTCTTATTAGCTCTTATTGGATCTCATCCACGAGATCCAATAATTCATGAGCTTATTGGATATCCAACAAGATAGGGGCTTCGACAGATATCTTATAACTGAATCTATACTCGTCACAATGCGTACTATATGTGTTTGACTCTCTAGGCCCAATATCAAGCTAGCTGTGAGTCATACATGTCAAAACTCTTTCTGGTTCTGTGAATTATTATCTTCGTAATAATTCACTTGACTCATCGACTACGGATGTACTATGTCACTATAACGAAGTCCTCAGATGATACAGGGGAACTTAATCCATTGGATATATTTATTCTCAGTTATCATGTACCTATAGTCTCTCATCAATCCAATATCTCAAAGACCGCATGCTAGATATAGTGCTATCAGACCTATATGGTTTTCTCCTCGAGTCTCGCTCTAATCAGATTATCCCGGAGTCTCTCACAATCCGAACAACCTTAGCCAAGAATTTGTCTGAGCAAGAACACACAAGACATTTCTCTCTGGATACTGAGAGTAGATAGTCCTCTATTGACAATCAATAATCGTCGTAAGGTTGACAGTCACTCCTAATAATCGATTATACTAGATCTAGAACTTTCAAATCTATAAGTTCGAGATCAAAGAGTTGAGTACTCATATAGGACATCATTGGTATCTCAAGTCTAAGGACTAGATACACTATTGAGACTATGAAATCATTGTCTAACAGTAAGGTATCATCAACTATCTAGCATTTCGTAAGCAGATCAATTAGTGAACTCATTCTCCAATGAGCACTTGCACTATATCCTTAGCGTCCCCACATAAGTAGCTATGAGACCAGCCGCCTCCATCATATGGACGAGTATATAGTATACAAGTCTATTCGGTTATCTCGATGTCCCTCTCGAGTAACCTATGATCAAGATTATTTATGGTCTGTGTTTAAAGGTGAATCGGTTTCATTGTCGTGATCTCATCATGATCTGATTCACATTTCATAAATCTATGGACATCATAATATATTTATACAACAAGCAATATAAAGTAAAAAATTATCATAATAATAATAAAAAAAGATTATATATTATATCACACGTGTCATCACTCACGTAATTGACTTGCAGGGCACTCATTACTCGCAAGGTTAGTCTTTGGGTGTTAGAGTTTTGGCTAGGAATAGATGAGGTTGGTGGTTTGCTGATCATTTATTTATTAACACTTCTAATTTGACGATTCTCCCTACTAATTTTTTCCTTATGCAAATGTGCAACTGAGATTACAGCTATCATAGTGCGGGGTTAGCGAGCTTTGACTTCACACTAGATATCTAGATTAAGTCGCTCGATAAATGTTCCCGCTAATTGCCGTTTAGATCAATTTCTAACTTGATTTGACAATTGTTCAAACATGCTATGATATTCTAGCATTGTAGATGTCTAACAAATTTTAACGAGTTGCCTATCAACATTCTCGTATTCAGATGATTCAAAGTGAATGAGAAGCCCTCTCTTGAATTATTCCTACGAGAGGACCCTATGGTAAGTTTCGTACTAACCATACCATTGTATTGTATCTCTATCTAATTAGATTGAAGTTATTTCCACCTTGGATTCTTTTAGAGTTCTGTAAAAACAGAAAATTTTTTCTGCCATAGAGATCCAGCTAGTCAGATCTCCATCTTCCCATCTTGGGAATTCCATCTTCATGCGTTGGTAGCTTGTAT